TGTTTCGATTCGGTAAAACGCTGCGGTGAAATGAACGCATCGCATCGCCGCACCGGACAACGAATCGCATGTATGTGTCTTTAACTTAACTGCTCCTGTTAGATACTACTTAATAACTGCTTCTGTAACAAATAATTTTACTTCTAACATAATTAGTGTTTCCAAGTTCCATTACTTTCTACATAATCTTTCTGTATACAAACTACGCAATAACTGTTTATGTAATTCACTAAATAATTATTGTTTCTATAAACCCACTCACCATAACTCTACAATACGCTACAAAAATATTGATTATTGCATGAAACAAATCCAGTTTCCATAACGTCAGTTTTTTCGTATCGATATCTATGAAAGTTTAGGTTATTCTTTTAATTCTCGAAATTTTGTCACCAAATTTTATGTTTCATGTAATAATCTGTCCATACTATTCCCACACAATGAGCGAAACTATTTTCCCTTTTCGTGAAACTTACACTATAATTGTGAGACTCTAAAGGACCTCCGATATATTTGTTCTGCAGAATGATAAATATTATAATGCATAATATGGAATTCGAATGACCTTCAGTTTTGGGCAATGTACAAATAATGATGCCAAAATCAAAATCGATCTGGACTCCTTTATTATTTACTCTTTTTAAAATTAGGTTTGCTTGATGTGATCTATTAACAATCAACAATTACTGCTTTTGCAAAACAATTTACAATTACTGCTTGTGTTACAGAAGCAGCAATTATGTAGTTTGTTACAAACTACATAATTGCTGCTTCTGTAACACACTTAATAATTCTGTAACTGTCTCTGTAACACAGAAGACAAACCTCCACCACCTGCACCTAGGGAAAAATACCGCCCTCCCCACATAACCATTGGTAAGAACATGCAAGCTCAAATCAGTTCACCTACCTATATTGCAATATCTCGTCGGATTCTAATCTCGAAACGAGATTGACAGCAGACTCGACTCGCATAATAACAAATAGCGCATTTGGTAAAATTTACGAAAGATGAACCCTTGTGTTGACAACACTCTATGACTGTAGCCTAAGTACTAAGGCATCTATCGCCATCACCTGAAACTTCTCTAACCATTCCATAAGCGGATCAGCATCATCATGAAAATCCATGGATGTGACTTCACCACTTCGTCCTGGATTAGGCAGATATTATTCGCATAGAGGCTCAGCTGCTTAGGTCCCATTTAAGAACGTTTGGCAGGCCACCTCTACAGGATGGAAGACCATCGACTGCCCAAGATTGTTTTGTTAGCGAGCGAGACTCCTGTAGGCCAGTGTAAAAAATTAGAGGCATAGAAGAAAGAACCTAGAATAGACCAGAGGGAGGACGGGGAGTATTGTCACCCGAGAGGGGGCAAAATCTGAGTTAACTTTTCTAGAGGCATTTTTCCTCAGGAATCCGAATCTGGGAGGTAAAGTGCCGGGTCAGGGGGCGTTTTTGGGTAATTCAATCTCAAAGGTCACGAAAGGGCAATTAACGCAAAAAACGTTAAAAATTGAGAATTTAACTACAAAATGTGTACAAAATTCATTGATATCAACTAGAAATTGACAAAAGCCCATTAGTGTGAATCGGCACTATCTATAAGTCCCAATTCTTTGGGGTAATCCAGGTCAAAGGTCAAAATAGGTCATGACATTGTGAAGATGAAGTTTGTAATAGCTTGACATTATATATGAAGATGTAGTTTGTAATAGCTTGACATTGTGAAGATGAAGTTTGTAATAGCTTGACATTGTGAAGATGTAGTTTTTAATAGCTTGACATTGCGAAGATGTAGTTTGTAATAGCTTGACATTGTGAAGATGTAGTTTGTAATAGCTTGACATTGTGAAGATGTAGTTTGTAATAGCTTGATATTGTGAAGATGAAGTTTGTAATAGCTTGACATTGTGAAGATGTAGTTTGTAATAGCTTGACATTGTGAAGATATAGTTTGTAATAGCTTGATATTGTGAAGATGAAGTTTGTAATAGCTTGACATTGTGAACATTACTATAACTTAAAATAACAATATGCTTTTATTTAGAACACCATCTATTTAGCTAATACGATTCTAGTCTTACTTTGGCATGATTTATTAGTCTACCCCTCGAATATTTTGAAATTCTACAAATTTTACTTCATTAATGGGACAGATGCGCCTTCAATTCCATGTGTGTCCAATTCAATTCTGCGTTTGAATGCCAAAATGATGACTCGTCATTTTAAGATTATATCTGTGATATATAGAAAAGACATTTATATAGATAAAGTGAGTAAAACTCACAAGGTATTTTTGAAGTACATTTCTAGTACTTCTGAAGACTATTTACATATTTTCAAGACTAAAATCAACCCTCTAAGGCTGCGTTTCCACCAAGTTTCACGTGACACTATCACGTGTCATGTGTCATGCATGACACTGGATTTCACATCGAACATGTCACATGTCATGGCATTCGTCCTGTGTTCGCCATGGGTGACGGTTCCGACTCGTCTGACGAGGAAATTCTTGCTCTATGTCTGTTGTACCGGCGAGCTAGGAAGAGTAACTGCAGCAGGCGCTCAATATGGTGCAGGGACCATTACTTATTGCGTCCAGAAAGGGGCGAATTTACCAGAACGTTTCGCTATCTCATGGACAATCCAAACAGAGAATTATTCTTCAATTACACAAGCATGTCGTATGAAACCTAGGCAGAATTGCCTCATCTACAACCAATTGGTACCAACTACAGAGAAGCTATATCTGGAGAGAAGCTCATTCTCACACCGAGGTAAGCAGCCAAAAGATAACGTTTGATAATGTTTTATTCAATCAAACCATGAAAGTACAATATGAACATCAAATGGAAACACTGCAGTTAGTCATATTTAAAAAAAATCATAAACAAAAACAGAAAAGGTTGCATATCTTATGCAGAACATTAATTATAGCTATTTGGCACATCAAGATAACAATAGGATTGTTGGGAATATTTTGCCAATTTACAGCAGAACAATCACCACCAAGTTCGATCTTTGGTCAATTTCAATTTGGATTATTTAACAACCCCAAAAATGATTGTGGAGTGTAAACTCTCCCAGTGCTGTTGGACATCTCACTGGAAGCTACGGAAAAGCAGGGGAAAACCCAGGGGAAACCCCAGATCGGTCAGACGTGAAACAGGACACGGGTAAAAAGAATGAACATGTTGATTCTGCAAAAACGTGTCAATTCACGCGTTACACGTGAAACGTGACATTGATGGAAACGGTTCCTACCAACATCATGTGTTCCTATTTCTTGTCACGTGACACATGACATGTCACGTGAAACTTGGTGGAAACGCAGCCTAAAATGGCACATCTGTCCCTTTAACCAAAACTGGAGGTATAAATCTAGAAATGCTTGAGACACTTTATATTACTATTACCATAGGATTGGAGATCTTTAAACTTTAAACTACAAACTGTTCTTTAGTTGTCGAGGGAAACAATGGTGGAATGTTAACTGGCCTTCGGATTTTATTTATTATGTTGTTCAGTTTTCGGGTTGATAAAAACATGACATAAGAGATTCGATTATATAATAACGTACCATAAAGATTATTGAATTGTTCAGAATTCAAAATCTTGGCAACGTTATCTTGGAGATTAGGGTGATTGAAGAGTAACCAGTTACTATTCAATATAAGGCACTGGCACAGGGTTAAAGTTATGCTTACAATAATTGTGATGCTAATATGCAATGAACTAAATCAAAGATGATCATAACGGTTATCCTATAAATCTTCTTGGACCTAATAAAGAAATTCATAATACTTATAATCTACATTGACTGCTTCAAATTTTCTGGAATAATGAAGAAAAGCGATTAATGGCTGCAGGTATAGAAAGTAAATTGTTTTAGACTATTATATACTATAAAGTACAAAGACAATGAAAATGAGAATATTTTAATTCTTTAGATCACTCTACATCATCGGTGGGGTCAAGTCGACCACGAACAACAATATCCTGTAGATTTTTACTTTTCGAATAAGCTATGACTAATTTTTTGTAAAAAATAGTGGGAAATTTATTTTGTAACTCTGTGTAGTACCTTTTGATAATTCGGGATGCTTGGCAAGAAATGTTATTGAATGGAGCAACAAATGGGATTATTTGAGAATCAAACTGTATATTTAGTCCACAGGGCGAAATAGTTTTTAGTTGGTTCATCCAAAAGCTCTCCCTGTATAGTCTTGAACTTTTAGGGTTGGTGTCTTCTTCTGCGATGACCTTTTCAATGGGCGCCACCTTCATATCTGCGAGGGAATGGTTGGGAGAGTTGAAATGGTTCCCAATAGGTTTATCCAGATGATGGGAGATGTCGAAACGATTGCCGTTAATTCTTTCTCTCAAAGAGTTTTTAGTTTCGCCTACGTATTGTAAATGACATTTGTCGCATGAAATTAGGTAAATGATATTTGTGCTGGTACAAGAAAGCTCACCGTTAATAGGGAATTGTTTACCGTTATGCTTATTAGAGAAAGAATTGGTTGTTAAAATATGCTCGCAGGTTCTACATCTTGTAGATCTGCACGGCCGTGATCCTAAAGATTGATTATAGTTTACCGGAACGAGGATTATGTTCCGATTCTCAATTCCTGAAAGAGTTTTGCTTTTAATGCTGCGGAGATATCGTTTTGAATATCTCCGCGCACGCAATTTCTTAAAGACTAATTGACACGCATCATCAAAATCCTCTATTCTGGTTCAAATTCTACGGAACCGTAAAACTTGCGATTTTATTATGCCTGAAAATGTATGTTTAGGATGAAAAGAGCTTTTCAATAAAAGTTGGTAGGTATTAGTGGGTTTGAAAAATACTTTAATATCAGCCTAGTTTCATTAAAATCCGGTCCTTTGAATACTGTTGTGTCGAGAAAGTCCATGCTGTGATCACTTATATTTGCTGTTAATTTGATTGATGGGTGATGGTTATTTAGAATTTGCGGTCCACCCCCCGCATCTAGTTTAAATGGGCCATCCAGTGAGAAAATACTTTCTTGGCTGTCATCTCTGTAAAATTAATATTGTCGTTTTGAACTTTAATGAATCCGGAGTATTCTGGAATGGTAGTGGTATTGGTATTGGTTGGTGGTTTAGCTGTGATGAGTTCATTGAATTTTGATAGGTTCTTGAAGGCTCCAGGACATGCTCGTTTTAAAGATGAAACTGGTATCGGTGTGACATATAGGGAGGCTTTTGGAGACTTGTTTCGGACAATTGACAGCAGTTCCAACATTTGGATGTGGATGAAATTACCATCTTCTTGTTTATCATTTAAACCTACATGTACTATTACTTTATTTGGTACTTGCCTGGTTTCTGCTTTAGTGATGATAGACTTCAAATGACAGATTCTTGCGCCCGGAAAGCTCTCTATTTGGGTTTCTGAGGTGCCTTCTGGGATACGGCCTAAATTTGACGATCCAATGATGAGAATAGGTTTGGTTGGTTTTGGTAGATTGAATTTGGATTTATCACTCTGTCGGGTATGAATGTGTGGTTTAGTAGAGGGTCTAGATGATGCTGTCTGGTAGGTGACAGAAGAAGTTGATGATGAAGAAGAGGATGGAAAACTTGTTGGGGAATATGATCTATTCCGTTTTGATTTCCCAGTGGATTGTGGCATGAAACTAAATCTGTTTTTGGTAGTTGGAGGAAGAGATACTTCTACCAACTCTACATTGCCTACATCCATATCCTCAAGTGCTTCTGAAGCCGTATTTTTAATATCTGCCAAAAGTGATTTGAACTGTTCGACTACAGTTCGTTGTAAACGAGATTTATAAACTTTCCGAGCCCAATTTAAAGCTTCAGATGAAAAAGACTCAATTTGTATGTCCGTAAAAGAGTGTGATTTGATCAGGTCTAATTTAGTTTTTACCAATGAATTATAATGGTTTTTAAGAGCCGAAAGAATACTTGTTGCCCAAGTTTGATTAATTTTTTCAATCTCCAAAGAGATGATGGGATTTTTTGGAGCAGGTTGAATGAACTCAGATGAGAGACCTTTTTCGAAAGGCCAAGACTTAAAGAACCATCCAATTGTTTTGATACCGCATTGATATGGTGAAGGCATTGCAGAAGTTGGTAGAACATTCTGATTGAAGCGGCAGATGTTTCTGATAGTCCATATTGTTGATTGTTGGTTCTATTGTGGTTCTGTTGGTGGTTTCTACGGAAATTTTGCCCTCTCTGTTTCTGTGCTGATCTATTGTTCTGCCTATTGCTATGTCTATTGCTCTGTCCATGATGCGGTCGTCTTTCCATCCTGTGATATTGGTCTCTGTTGTTAGGGTAGTAGGGTTTTTGACGAGGGATCTGTTCTTGCCAAGCATAGGGGTTATTATAGGGACGTGGGTTGTACGAACGTGGATTATGCAGACGAGAGTGGTAAAAATTTTCCTGTCAATGGTTGGGGTGAGAATAAAAGTTGCCGTAGTTGCTCATGATAATTGGTAACAAGAATAATAACAATATGTATGTTAATGATTTGGAAGGAAGGGGTAAATTGTGGCGTAACAAAGCAAGGTACAAATAATAACAAAAATATGAAAAAACGAAAAACTTACATCAATTAGAATAACAAAAAATGAAAAAACTCCTCAAAAACACAATTGCAATTTCGGTCATGAACTGACCTTCATCAGGTGTAATCTAAAATCTCATGATTTCATGAGTTCATAAATACAGGGTAGAATGTGAAATGTCATTTGAGACTCAATTAAGGTAATAAACATATATACACTATGGTACGCATCTCTTAATCAACTTGTACTCATGTTCTTGATTGAGATACCGGTATTGTTAATTGGTTAATCTGTTAATTTGTTTGATAGTTACTGCACATTGTAATTGTTATATGAAATCCATATTCACTTTATGGTTCTATATGCCTGTATGCACATTTTAAGTTACCATAATCACAATCTAAATTCTGTTATGATAAATCTTTCATATTGTACTGCACTATGTATTGTCTTGCTCCATTGATGGTAATTGAAAATATCACATTGTGAGTCCTGTAACAGTACTTAGTACTTGGTTCTCCACAGTGTGTTCGGTAGGTCAAATCCATAAATCATCTAACTTTCGAATTTCTAAAGCACAATTGACCATACTATATAGTTGAGTATATGGGAAAATATCTTCATATATATTGTTCATGATCCGCAGTTGAGTACTAAAGAACTACCCATAACTGAACACATAATCAGAATTCACGAAGCATATTCAAGTGATGTAGGGATATCTGAATATCTTATTCAAAATACAACTGTAACATGCATAATTTGTAGTATATTATATTCAGGTGATGTAGAAATATCTGGATATCCATAATATACTCGTAATATCACAATTCACGAAACATGTTCAGGTGGTGTAGAAATATCTGAATATCTAATTCACAATACAATAATTATTGTAATCTGCTTGATTTATAATACATATTCAAGTGATGTAGAAATATCTGGATATTCATAATACATAATATAATCTTAGTATCCATAATTCGTAATAAATATTCAAGTGATGTAGAAAGATCTGTATATTTATTGGAGAAATTGTTTTGACACCTCAATTGTTATGCTTCTCAAGGCCCTTTCCAGTATCACCTACAGCATGCTTCCAATCTGTATAGCCTTCAGTAATGAATTTTTATGCACCCGCAGATGTATTGTGAAACACCCGACATGGAAATCAAAAAGGGGCGTCCCTTGACACTGAATACTCCAGCCATGGAAATCGATCATACCAGCTGTTACTAAAATGTCGCCCAGACTTCGCTGGAAATTTTATTCTCGGTTGCTTTGGAACGTCTTCTTTTCCAATGTCACCTGGTATTCCTGTCTTTTCAGAGCATCTTGGTACTGCATCCGTTGTGTTGCCCGCTGTGGTTTTGATACCAGTGTCAGTCGTAGTAGTTTCGGAACCATAAAGCAATTTGTCTTTTTTGATCAAATATTTATCCATTTTTCCTACGTTTGGTTGTTTGATTCATATGAATACAATTTAGGATAATATATGTCTATTAGTTAGTATTTATAATCAGCCAATCAAATCTTTTGAATTTTGAGACGGTACAGATTACAATCCAGTATCAGGCCAATAATTCTTTTACCAATGACGCTTTACTGCAGACTTTTTATGATTTTCAACGAACTCAATTGTATCAAATTATCTATTCTAATGCAATTAAATTTAAAAAGCTATGATGTCTGGTTTCATCCTCAGCTAAGAATAAACAGAAAGATATTTAAAAACAGTTCTAGGCCTACAGAATACTTAGTATTTTGTTGAACCATTTCGCATAACGCAGCCCTGATTTGATTTAGGTCATGGCCTGGCCATACATGCCCGTCCCACATTGGGATTGCAGTCGACGTGAACCTCTCTCTTATCTGTTTTTCTTTCGCGAAGCAAAAGCCAATGACTGATTATGTAACATTATTATACTATTGCTGCTTCTGTTACAAACTTATAGCTATTGTTTCGGTAATTCACTTCACTATCACCGTTTCTGCAAATCACTTCAAATTTGCTGTCCCATATTCTGCTTTTTAGTTAAAACTTCCAGGCATATTTCTCTTGATTTCAGTGTAGAGTTTTCACAAATTTGAGCAAAAAATATTTTAAAAAATTTTCAACCTACAAAAAAACGCGGATTGTCCCTTTAACTTTAAAATCCTTTAAATATAGGCCTTTGCATGTAACATGCTGTACTCAAACATGCTCATTGTGATTTATGTAATATAGCAATATGAATGGCTTTTGGACGCGCATGCTGAAATGAAAATGAAATGAATGGAGTTTTACGTCCTACTTTTCTGCACCATGTGGGCTAATGAAGACGGGCAACGCCATGCAGGGTGCGATGAGGGAAATTTTGCCTGCTCTTTTTCGATTTCCAACTGTTGAGGGATCTTTAACGTGCACAGTCTGTAGCACACGGGGCCTCGGTTTATTGTCCCATCCGAACGACTAGACGCTTTTTCCATGTCAGCCCCTCTTACCTGCATCACTGACAGGGGGAAACCGGTTTTAAAAGTCCGAAGGTATTATCTCGACCTATGCCGGGATTGAACCCTGAACCTTCAGGTTAGCGAGCAAGCGTCTAACTCACTGAGCCACCGCGGCTCGATCCGCCGCGCGTGGTGAATCTGACACTAAATTTGCAAAATGCATGCATATAGCACATTATTTTATGGTCAGATGCTCGAGTACATATATATCTTTTTCATTATCAATCATAGTTTCAAGTTTTTCCCAAGAATTGTGCCTTTTTGCTAACTCTATCAAACCCAAAATAACTACAACATAGTACCGGTAGCTGATTCAGTAATTCCAGTGTGTCGAGTCATTCAATAAGTTGAAGGGAAATAACTCTTGTTTTAGGCATAAAACAACGTTTCCTGAACAGTCCACACCACTGAGAAGAGGAGAAATCCAAAACAAAGCTAGAATCAGATTTATTTGCTATTGACCCATACAAATGTTAAGCAAAATGGCTTGTATTAAAAGTTTCATTTTGCATATCTGTGAATTGACAGGAAAAAAAAACGAGAGAAGGCCTACTTTATTATCAAAGAGTCTGTACTCTTTGCTTTATTTATTCCTCAAGGAACGTAGGTAGATTTGAAAATAAGAACTTGCATTTAGAGTGAAAGGGGGCTGGGATATTCACTGTCTTAACTTAAAGCTGTGCCGTTTTGGTTGATTTGAGTCATGAATATATGTATAGTCTTCAGAAGTACTAGAAGTATACGAAAATCGCATAATTTCTTCAAAATTATTCCAAACAAAGAATTTCGTTTCCTATTTCTATAGATGTCTTTTATATATATGACGAGTCTCAAGAAAAGGCAACTTGTCTTTTTAACTTTCAAACTTGGATAATTCTGGACAAATTGATTTGAAGGCTTGAATTACAGCTCTGTGAGTTGTGAATGCTATTACTGATTGGCTTAACTAAAAATATTCCTGTTTCTGAGCCTTAAAGTACAGGTGGTGAAAAAAATGGCGCACTTGTCCCTTTAAAAGTGATTCCAACTATATAGTACATAGTTAAATTTATAGCAACTAGTTTAAGCTGACATTTTATATTGATTTGCTTATGTGAGAGCTACCAGATGAAATCATTAACAGAGTATAAAAATGTATCTAATCACTAAAACATTTTATTACCAATATTTAATTATATAATATATCAGACAACATTGTTGACAGACACATACTCACATTTTCAGATTCACCAAAACACACACATAAATTATATTACTAACACAGAATTTATTTTGTTCTTTTTCCAAATGAATCTTTCCATAATATTTCAAATATCTCCAAGCAATAATGGTCAAATTTCTCAATCAGAGGTAATGTACCATAACTATCATTTCCACACAAGATTGATTGTTTGTATATACCAATATTCTGTACACGTTCTCAAAAAAAACAATCTTCATTCCTGGGGTGGTCGTGGTTTTAATATCAATTTACCAGTCTGAAATATGAAAATGATTTGTGAATGTGAGTTGTAGTATTTGAAACATCAATGATGTTCATAGTAAACTCTCGTGAAGCTGTGGTTTACATGAGATATGTAAAAAAGAAAAACAAACGAACAAACCATCAAGAGATTTATCTAAATAAAATTGATGGGACTATTCTCCAAATCTTCAAAGAAGCAGAAAATGGAATCTGCCCACATGGCAGATACAAAGAAGTCTGCATCACAAGACAAAAGACAGCATTCTACACTTACAGCATTTATGAGCAAAGTCCAGCATTAGAATATGAATCATCACAAAAATTGACAGGGAGCACCCCTTGGAGTATAGATTAACTGGAGACGGCACGACGTCATTTGCTATTCACGTCAAAGTGAAGCCACTCAGCCAGCGTGGCCGCCATCTTGGTAGACCCAAAAAGGCTATACTGTATGCATAGTAAGCACGCTTATCAACCGCAAAAAATTGAAGATCTAAAACACATATAGAAGTTTGCAGTCACTTTATTTTATTAGTAGACCTTGTAAAAAGGTCATTGGTCATTTTCAAACAGTAAATATAGATTTTTTTTAGAACAAATGCATATAATTATTAAAAGTATTCAAAATATAGGCCTACACTGGATTATTTTACAACAAAATATAACATATGTACGGAGCCCCTAAGGCGCAATTGTAAACATATTTATTTATTATTTCGTTTAAACGAATTATTTCGTTTTAACGAAATACACTATGTTTATTTCGTTTAAACGAATTAATTTTTTCGTCTATTTCGTTTAAACGAAATAATTAACCCATCTTTTTATTTCGTTTAAACGAAATAATAAATAAATATGTTTACAATTGCGCCTTAGGGGCTCCGTACATATGTACTACAAGTCTATTAATTTGCACTACTGACATGAATCAATGAATAGTGGGATTAAATCATCCCGAATTAATTAAAATTAGATAGTTTTAACATTTATACAACAGGAGAACAAACTGTTTTCGCTAAATATATAAATTAATAATTTATCCATAAAAATATATTTACAATCACTTACAAGATTTTATTTTCCAGAAAAAATGATCAATCTATTTAGAGTCTGACGACTTTTGGCTGAAATTTTCTCTCGAAGCTTAGCAGTATACTGTCTACCCTCATAGTAATAGCGAACTTAAAGATACTTCTCTACAACAGATTTAATAAGTAGAACCAAATGATTATTATAACCTTCATTTTTTAGCATATGTTGATTAAGGCAGGACAAAATATCTTTGTTAATATAATGTTTCAAAACAGATTGAACTAATTTGTGACATTGTACATAAGACAAATTCGCACGTGAACAACTTGAACTGACATATTGCCGAAAAAATTTCTCACAAGTCTTACAAATATCAATGACATCATTAGACTGAATGGTGAGCAAAGATTTAGATTTCAGTACTATCAACGAATTTACCGGTGAACATGACATGAAATCGGATGATGCATTTACACAGGTTTCGCAATGAATTGACGTCTTTAATTTGAAAGCTACGAAACCGGCAATATAAGCAACTATTTTCTCAGAACAGCTAGACAATACATTACTATTTGGAGCGTAAGTATATTCCTGATCTTTTACCACCTGAAATTCTTCACCCATCATTCTGTTTTTAGTAATCGACAAATTAAGATTTTCTACAGACGGTACCACCGTATCAACATTTTTACTAATAATACGACTTGTAGCAGTTAAGATAGGAATGGATTCTAGAGCCAAGCAATTTCCCGAAGCGACATCTTGTACATCATTATGGGTCAATATTTTCTTATATGCGCTTTTAAATTGCCTTACAGTATGATTATTATTACAGCCGTCCATACTCCTGATTTTCCCAAAAAAAAGTTCAATGTGGTCCTGACTGAACTTGTAAGTCAACAAAAATTTTATACCATATTTCTCTGATAGAATTAATTCTTCGAACAACGATTTTATGCTCTGAATACACAACAGAAACCCCAGGAAACCTGTCTTACGATTACTGTCAATAATTGACGCACCATTATTCGATTGACGCAACGATAAAATATACGAATGTGCACTCGTCAGAATATTAAAAACATTTAAATAGTTATTCATTTGCAAAGGGGGCTTTGAAACCAAAGTTTAAAACATCAAAAAGTTTATCAAACATTCGAATAAAACTAATAGTTTCCTCACAACCTTCGAATTATGGAATCTTCTCATTTAAACAAAAGTCTAAAGAAGTTGCCACAGAATCACTCAAAGTCTGAGCAGCTAATCTTACATTCATTTTCTTTTTAAACCAAGCAATATGGCTAGCTCTCAACCTGTTCCCCAAATGAAGTCCTTCTTCATCTTGTAACTTGTGCAAATATTTTAAGTAATCCCATTTATTAATATCATCATTTGCAAAAATTGATCCTTTATCGGCAAGTGTGTTGCGAACTAATTTTAACATATGGCAGGGATCTAAAAAAATGTGAACTTTAGAATCATTTACAGGGTGAATAAAAAAAGATCGTATATGTCTTGGATCGTTCCAGTTTAAACCCAATGATCGCAACATAGACAAATTTGTTGCAGCTCCATCATGTGTCAAAGAAATAATTAAAACACCAGCTGAATAAAGTCGTTCAATACAATCAGTTACTAAGTTTTTGCGCTCTTCACCACCGAGACCATTAATCAAAAAATATCCGACCGGCAATTTTCAGGAAGATTTCAGATCAACCACCATAAACACTAAAGCTTCCTTTGCAAGCGGAAGGGAATCGTCATCAAGCTCTGTTCTCATGTCAATATAACCATGGTATTTCTGTCCATCGAACTCCAGATGCTGGCGTATTGCAACTTCGTCCATCATTAGGGAACATGTCATTTTTTCCTCACCGTGTAATTCACTGCGCTTCCTGAGGGCTTCGAAGGCAGAATCGCTAAAGCCAGGAGCATCGTCCACATTCTTGTACCATTTACTGATTGTCCTAGGATGAGGCAGACAAGTATCAAAAACTTTCCTGACGTAATTGTATGCACGAGGCGAGTAAAAGTGCAGGGTTAATGCAAAACTTCTCAACTGTGCAGAGTATTTTGTTGGTAAGGGGTGGTTTTCAATTTTAGCCTTTTGTCTTTTTAATAAATCTGGGATTCCACCTGCACAGGCCTCTAAAACATCAATACTGCTACTACTGACAACGGCAATCTTTCTCATGTCAGCTATAACATTCTGCAGTTCGGCATTTCGTTTCAGAAGACGTCTTCTAGCCTGCAGAAGTGTTTTTATTTTCTTTCGAGAGGAAATAAGTTTGTTCTGACTTTCTTCTAATTTCCGTTTTAGTGAAATTTTTTCCGGAGTGATGACTGTTGGTATTGAAGGGACTGCTACATGTGAACTAGGTGAAATGTGGAAAATTGGTCGTTCATTTGGGGTGCGGCGGAGCGTGATATTCTCCTTTAAATAATCTGGAAATGCAGCAAAAACAGACGGAATAGCAGATGGCTGAAGACGAACAACGCACTGTGATGTTCTATCAAAGTCTTCTTCTTTAAAATGTTCGGAACAAAGAAGTGCGGACTTTGAAGGGGTGAAATTCTGTCGTCTGATTGCTCGTATCCACTGACTTCTCAAGCTCACATCCTTGGGAATCCTGCAAATGAAAATCAATTCGTAAGGCAAAGCTTATGTCTTATATTTAATGAAATACAGGGTGTGGCTTTTTGCTTGGGAGTTTTGAATGCTCTCATTGGAGAATGGATCTCTTCCAATAATGCTATATAAACAGATGAAAGAAAATCAACAATAATTTTCCAAATTTTAATATAATTATTAATATGGTATAACTATAGTGCACATAGTGTCTTTGACAAAAGTAAGCCATCACTTAACTAGATAATGGTAGATTCTAGTAGATATGGTAGATCTAGCCATTCTAGGTCTTGATTTGCGATCTTAAAAGAAATTAAAAGCAACTTACGTATGAAAAGTGATCGAACGTCGTCTATCTCTATCTGGTCTATTGGTGCAGCCGTATTCAGAACACGAGGGCATTATTTATAATAATAATAACTTAAGTAGACATACTAGAAATGAAAGCGTTTGACGTCGTTGTTTTTTGGGTTGACCAAGATGGCGGACGGCAGGGTGACGTGGCGTCACGTTAATGACGTCATGCCGTCTCCAGTCAATCTATACTCCTAGGAGCACCCTTACTTTCAAAACAAACTTGCTCATCAATAGTGAAAAACTTTTTTTCAAAAACTGTTGCCTTTAGAAGGGGCATGAGTCTATAATTTCAGATTCCTCCATTAAATACATCATGCTTGCAAATCCACAGTCCAAAAATCAAAAGTCAATAATTGTAAAATGTTGAGTGAGAAAGAGATAAATGTGAACAGACCAGCAGAAAGTAGAAAGTATGCAAACAATAAACACACAATCTACTTGCTAGCTATAAAAATATATATTACTTACATCATCACAAGACATATTAAAATCAGCCAACACTGTCCGACATCTGGTTGCTATTCTAATTATATGTTAAGAAAGTGAAAGGATTGTGACACAGAAAGTTCCCTGTATCTTTTTTTTTGTAGGATAAACATAGTTACTATATATAATATGAAGCAAGAATTAAGCAGTATAATGATTATTCTTCTGTGATTTCTTTTTCGGGTTGATCTAACACATGTAACTGAGAAACCATTTACCTCACCATTATGTTCATTAATCAATATTCAATGTAACAAATACTGGAACTAGAACCTTATTTAGAAACTGTCAATGCTTACATTTAACATTTAAATAATATTTTGAAAGGATACATTGAAGGGGCAACAACTCTCTTATGAATTCCACATAAAAATAAAATTACCAGTAAAAAACAGCTTAAAGCAAAGAATGGGTGATTCCATAATGAATTTGTAAAAGAAACCTGAAAATAAAAAGATAAACTCACTCTTAATAACTATAAAAGCCTCAATTCCAAAAAATCTACTGACACCCAGGCATGGTTAGTCCTCACAGTTAATATGATATTTAAGTGGCATGAAAGTAAGTAAGCATAATCCAGTTACTTTTGCTTAACAAGACACCAACTAATTTTGTTAAATTGACAATACTTTTCTGATTTGTAGCCAATCCAACAAAAAGTATTACCTTAGATGTGTCAGGATCCCACAACCATGTCCAAGCACCAACAGCTGTACATACAGATATGAATATCAAAATGACTGTAATAATTAAACAAAACTTAGTTGAAACTATAGTTTACATGTTGATGAAAAATTATGTTGCCCTGGCAATGACTGATATATAGTTTCTTATAGCAAAATATTAGCTTTATAAATATTATTTATATAAGAATAAATTTATTACAGAATAAATGAATTGCCTATTTTTTGGAAAATATTCCAAAGAAGTAAGGCTCACTTCTCTTCTAGTCCTGTTGTTAAGTGGTTTAGCTCTTTTATAGACTCCATCGAAGAGAAAAAGAATTGTATTTTTTTTATTTAACTTAGAGGGCTTTAGTAAACAGTCCTCAAGAGTATACAGTTTTTTAACTTGAAAAGGAGATCATCTTTTATCACAATATATAAAACCTACTTCTCCAAAATCTAGCAGCTGGCTGCAATTTGTCTATGACTTCTGTTAAACGTCTTTCAAATGCCTTCAGATCTAAAATTTAGAAACATAAATGAACACTTATAATTACAGGGGGATATTAAGACTTCTAATTTGTCACTTCATCAATAAGCATTTGTCTTTAGAAATTAAAAAATAACCCTTGTCTTATATATTCAGTACACATCTTAGAAATACCGTTGATGCTCTGTTATTTAAGACCCATTACATTCTGATGAATATGTCACATGAAGTTCTCATACAATTCAGATTGACTAATATATTGTCAGATGTGAGATGGAACTTGGGAAGATATCTCGTCTACTTTCATTTTAGATTTTATTCAATACAAATAAGCCTCGTTCTTGTTACATGAGGTTTTAAGCAACAATCTTGTATGCATAGAGAGCTCACTGAACCAATTTCTATTTGACCTAGAACAAGTTGGTTTGGAATTTGTAAACTAGAATAAAACTGTTATCTAAATGTATCAGGCGAAAGATGTTTACCTTCAGTTTGTTCGGCCATGTTTTCAATTTATTGGAGTTACTAAAATTAGTTCAGGTATGCACACGGTACACTCATATTTATCAAGTATTGACACCCTTTAAACAGAGTCTATATAGGCTCTGCTTTAAATCACCCTAATTTATTTTATGTAACAACTTACTTTTCACATTCATTTATAAAACATCATATATAGGCCCAATAGAAAAGGTTTCCTATTTATATTCATTTATAAATACACGGGAAATTGTGTGGTAGCAGGTACTTCCGGAAAGAAAAATAGGCCTTCTCTAGCCCTAGGCCCCTAAGTCTTGTGTCTATAATTTTCCAAAAGAAACAAAGCATACCGATAATATTCATTGAACTTTAGGCAGTCCTTATTTATGCCTTGATCCTGGTCAGGTAAGCTTAGCAGTCCTGGTTTTTGATGTTTAAACCAGCTTGTCTAAAGATACTGATTCGACTACGGCTACAGACCATTAATAACTCATTTCTAACTACTTATTAGCAATCAAATGATGTTTAGCTGCTTTATGTTTTCCGGGTTTGAATTCACCATTTTTTCCGCGATGCTTTTTAGCGATTTATTCTGATTTCATCATATTGCCTATCTTCCTTGTAATGTTGCGGTATTTTTTTTTAACTTTTCGTCATCGGAACAAAGAAAGAATTTGGTTTGCATTTTGATTACATTCATTATAATTAATTTTAGTGATTGAATTAACCAAGGTTTACATCATATATTATGTCAAATGAAATTGGTATTTGAACTGCCATTAACTTTTGCAATAAAATAAAGAGCAACATAAATATAGCACAAATGTAACATGAAATAGAAATATTGTTCAGAGTTTTATTTGCAAAAACAAATTCACATCTGATCTGTATCTGAGTGGTGACAGAGGTGTATTTATTGATTAAGTTGTAAGTAATGATTCAATTGTAACAAGAATAGTAATGATTTTCAGAACCAGAATCTCATTTTTAATTCAACTATATTGTTTATTGGCATGATTTCTTCAACAAATCGTAGATAGTTAGTGTTATTTTCTGTTTGAAATGTTGTATGCTCATATTACTATTCTTAAAGATTTTCACAGAATAAAATAGAATGAGTTCTAGAGAGAGAAGTAGAAGTCACAGAAGAAGTAGATCCATCAGTAGTAAGCAATCAAGAAGGAGCAGAACTCGGAGTCGTGAAAGGCGCTATTCCAGACACAGGAGCAGAAGCAATAGCAGAAACAGAAGAAGACCCTATGTTAGATCTAGGTCACGATCTCGGTCTCATTCATCTATCAAGAGACAAAGGTATGAAAACATTTGTAGACGAGGCAATTGAACAGTCCCAGCTGAGTTGCTCTTCATATTTTTGATGTCTTGTTTTAGAGAGTTTAGAAAGATGAAAGATGCATTCATGAAAAGGCAATGACAACATATAACTTAAAAATTACACAGATAATAACCAGGGGATAGACTAGTATGTTGATAGTCAACTTTATTTCCGAGAATAAATGTAACTGCTTAAGAAGATACAAGATTTTTTTCTAGGAAAATATCTAGTTCAAGTAGTAGCACTAGTTCTAATGAAGTTGTTGAAATAATTCCTCCAATACGCAGTGATGATCCAAAATATGTCAACAGTCGTCTGTTTGTTGGAAAATTACCAAAAGACTTTTCTAGTAAAGAATTAACAGATTATTTCAAGAGATATGGCCAAATAATAGGTAATTTATATTGTTAGTTCAAAATTCAATCCATTTCTGATTGGGATATTCATATTCATAGTGCCGTATGCATTGGATCAAGGATATTGGCCTGGTATAAAATTTGTTGCCTTTTGAGTGAATGAAGTCGATGTCTAATTCTGTTGAAGCTAATGCATGTATAGTCACAGGTATTTTTTTTTTACTGATTTAAAAATAATCCCCATTTGCAGTTTTGCATACAGTGTGCCAGTTATTTATTTGACACACCTTTTCTCTCCATTGAACTCGTTCATTTGCAAAATTAGGCATGATTCTTGTTTAATCTCAACTTATATCAAGCGTTGTTATATTAAAATTACGACTGGCCTTGTCATTCTTTTTCATTTTGAACTATTGAATAGGTAGTAGTTGATTTTTTTTGTTTACTAATTTAATTTTGTGTTGTAGATGCTGTAGCTCATACTAAAGGCTATGGTTTTGTTCAGTTTTCAAAACGCGAAGATGCTTTAACGGCAGTTGATAATGAAAGCGGATCAGTTATTAAAGGAGTTAAAGTCGGTAAGCATTTCAGTATAGTGCTTGTTATTAGTGTTCATTGTTCGAATGTTAAATTTTAGATATTTTGGTATGATCTAATATCTCCTCATCAAAAATCCTATTAATTAGAATTTGATTAAATGGCACATTTCTAAATAGTGAAGAAGTTTTCTTTATAGAATTGTTTTTTTCTGATTGTGCTGATATGAATGTAAGCAAATACTGATAATAAATGTCAGCAAATTCTGGTTTCATTTTATGAACTACTAATCAGATATAGTTCAGAATGTTCTGATAATGGGATAATAGAGAAATGTTTTATTTGTAACTTATATATCAAACTGAATAAAGATTGTTTCCTACTTTTTCTGGTTTTCATTTTGCCCTGCCATCTGTCCTGAATAGTTCTATCTTCACGCAATCTGACTATCTGGTGACATAATATTTTATATGTGTGCTGACTTGCATATGGGTAATAATGCTCCTTTGTTTTGAAAATAGTTACTTGCCAATTTTCTGTATCAAACTAAAAGCCAATCTGCGATATTCCTTTTAACACGAGTTGAAAAAAAAAACACGTTGCGTCATTTATTTTCTTTTTTTTAAATTGTTTCATGAAGGTAAGAAAATGAAAAAAATTTAACTGTCATAACTACTTTGTATGAGGAATGGATTCCAAATTTTGGATTTTAAGTGTTTGGATTAGTAACAATACCAAGAATGTGAATAACACTATATATATATATTTAGATATCATTATGCGATTGATATTTTTGCACACATGGGTTCACATTTAAAAAACCATTATGGGTAACAAATACCCCTGCCCTGGACTCATTATGAAAAGCTGCTTTAACATGAAAGATATGATATGGTCATATTTATTGAGCATGTAGCATGAGGTTTTCATGTCTTGGATTTAGGGTTATCAATCTGTAATGCTTACATCATTATTTAAGGACGTCTTCAGGAGCTGAAAATTCCAATTTTACACAATACAGAGATAATATGATTTAAATTTTGTATTCCCTTGTAAAAATTTTGTTGCATATACCCTTGCCCCTGCTAGTATGTCAGTCAACATTTCTTATAGATGCCAAACAAATTACAAACACTTTTTGTCAGATGAAATTTTGTAAGCATCATAAATTATAATTATAACAACTTTGGCTTTATTACCATTTCAATGTGTTTTTGAGCTGTTGTCCTTGTCAATTATTCAAAGAAAGAAATTATACAAGCTATCATTGATATCAGATTAAGATCAAAACATCATGAAAACCATTGAGAAAGACAATGGTTTCCATGATGTTTTGATCATACCCTGAGATCAATTATAGCTGGTATAATGATTTTCATGATTGCGGACGTGGGTGTGCGGCAAAGTATTTGGTATAAAGTTTTGATTAGATATTAAACGTGAATACTTTCATTTGTAGATATAAGGATGGCAGCAGAAGGTGGTAGATATGCCAATTCTTCTTCAGCTTAGTAAGTTATTCTTGTTCATAAAATAAGAATAAGGAAACATATTTTAAACTTGAATATAGGCATTGGTTACTGTTTTTTTTGTTAAAAAATATAAAAATACACCAATTACTGGTTTTGGCTAGCATTGATAATATTCATGATAATGAAAACTTGAATTTAAGTATTTGCTGTTTTGTTCAATGAAAACCCTGTCTTTGAAACTGCAGTGGTGGTAGGCGTTAAACAGTAGACTGATTTTGGCTCATGTATTTATTTTAGTCGAGGACGAGAACCAGACAGATGTGAAGTAAGAGGAACCTCAGTTCCCGGTAGAGAAAGATCACCAGCTGCTAGGAGATCACCAATTCGTGACAGAACTGAATCTTTCCCCCCTTACAGGGAACCATTACCCCCAAGGTTAGTAAACTAATTTTCATTCATTGAAAGATCTCTTATCTTCTCAAAAGATTAATTAAATCATGTTTGCAGCAAGGAGATAAATATATTAATAATTTGGTCTTCTAGAATTGGGTGCAGTTTTAAAGATTTAAGATTAAGAAGGGGTTTACATTATACTAGGGATATTGGTTCAAGTTGATATCACAATATCAAGCATTAATATATCATGATATATTTTTTGGTTTATATCATGATATTTCTTAAGCCCAGCCCTACATTATACATGCTGAAGCATTATATTATTAGATTGTATTGACTATGTTTAGACTGAAGGAGATTATGTCATATTTTTATTTTAGAGATGATGCGTATTATGCTGATCCCTATAGACGACCTCCTGCCCCACTAGATGATAGATATGATAGGTTTGATGATCTTTATAGGTATTTGTCCATATGATAGTAAAGTATATAGTAAAAAGTCTTGTCAATCTAATGTGACTGGAATCATATATAACAATGATAGATAGTATAAACATAAAATATGTGATGTAGATCAGAGGGGCTGTCAAAATCGTGGAGTCATTCAATGAGACAATAAACCCAAGATCTCTTGACTGTTGGTTTTCTTGGAACTTATAGATGACTGGCTGGAAGTTAAGTTTTCAAGAATAAGGCCCCCAATCGTATAAGTTTTATGATAGTTTATAGTTCCAAAAATATAAATTGATGATGATGATTTTAGATGAAATTGTTACAGATATTTCCAAATTGTTCAGGTAATGCATAATGGTATTTTAAATTGTGAAAATCTGAACATCATTAGATTTTATTTGATGTTTATGAGTATGAAAAATGATCCAAAACTTACTCAATTGAACTGATGAAATCATGTTTGATATATTGCAGACGACGTGACCCTTATGATGATCCATATGCTCGTGACCCATATTATCCTCCACCCCCTAGAAGGGCCCCACTACCTGGTCCACCTATTGCTACTTCTACTATAGAATGTGAAATTATTATGTTACATCCACAATTACGGTAATTATCTTCAAATCTATTCAATCTTGTCTTTTTGAATTTTATTTTCATTTGAATATTTTAAGATGAACTATTTTAGATAGATGCATGGATGAATTTAGAATTTTACCCATAGTCAAAATTGACATTACATTGATGGAAATAAAACATTTCACATTTTGTCACTTGAAATTTAACTTTCAACCAAAATTTGAGACATTTTTGGTTGAAATTTCTTAAAAGTAAGTGTGCAAACTTAGACAAATTACAACTTTATATATTTGTCAATGCATGAAGCTGATATTCATGTATCATTTCACTTTAAAAAATTTTATTAAATTTAATTAACTGACAAAAGTTTGACGATTAAAAAACACTTTAATTGTGCCAAGATTCATGATAAAATTCTATGATATTTCAGAGTGTATGCTGACAAGATTCATGATAAACTAAAAGCTATCAAATTAGTTTGTGGTATTTTATCTGTACCAGCTGATCAACCCTTACAGAAGCAAATGGAGGATATGACTAGACATGGTGTATTATATGCTATTGTTATTAATTCTCAAAATGAAATACATTCTTCAGTTATATTGAACATATTACATGGTACTCCACAAGGTAGGTTTATATTATAATCTGATCACAATTGATATCACCACTTTTGTTTTCATAAACACACAATAGAAATTGACACAAGTTGTTTATGATAGCAGATATGACTTATTGAAATAGATTTCAAAATGTGAAATGATTTGATAAATATTCTTCAATTGAAGTACCCGTTAATTAATGAACATAAGATCAATCTGTCAATCTGAATTTGATTATAAACAGAAAACAATTTCTGTGACGTTTAAAATATTTCATTCTTGAAGATGCCTTGTTTGTAAATAATAATCACATGAAATGTTTTATAATATGTTCTTGTCAAATGCGATGCGGTTTCATATCACGTGAAATTATTACTTAATGAATACTTAAATATTGAGAGTTCATAATTTTAATATTCTATGAGAGAGATTAATATGGTATTGTAATATTGAGAGTTCATAATGATAAATATGATTTTAATTTTCTATGAGAGAGATTAGTACGGTATGGTCTATCACGTGAAATTATTACTAAATGAATACTTAAATATTGAGAGTTCATAATGATAAATATAATTTTAATATTCTATGAGAGAGATTAGTACGGTATGGTCTATCACGTGAAATTATTACTAAATGAATACTTAAATACTGAGAGTTCATAATGATAAATATAATTTTAATATTCTATGAGAGAGATTAGTACGGTATGGTCTATCACGTGAAATTATTACTAAATGAATACTTAAATACTGAGAGTTCATAATGATAAATATGATTTTAATATTCTATGAGAGAGATTAGTACGGTATGGTCTATCACGTGAAATTATTACTAAATGAATACTTAAATATTGAGAGTTCATAATGATAAATATGATTTTAATTTTCTATGAGAGAGATTAGTACGGTATGGTCTATCACGTGAAATTATTACTAAATGAATACTTAAATATTGAGAGTTCATAATGATAAATATGATTTTAATTTTCTATGAGAGAGATTAGTACGGTATGGTCTATCACGTGAAATTATTACTAAATGAATACTTAAATACTGAGAGTTCATAATGATAAATATAATTTTAATATTCTATGAGAGAGATTAGTACGGTATGGTCTATCACGTGAAATTATTACTAAATGAATACTTAAATATTGAGAGTTCATAATGATAAATATAATTTTAATATTCTATGAGAGAGATTAGTACGGTATGGTCTATCACGTGAAATTATTACTTAATGAATACTTAAATATTGAGAGTTCATAATGATAAATATAATTTTAATATTCTATGAGAGAGATTAGTACGGTATGGTCTATCACGTGAAATTATTACTAAATGAATACTTAAATACTGAGAGTTCATAATGATAAATATAATTTTAATATTCTATGAGAGAGATTAGTACGGTATGGTCTATCACGTGAAATTATTACTTAATGAATACTTAAATATTCAAAAATAACTTGAATAATCATAATATACTATGAGACAGATTAATACGGTGTGGTATATCATGTGATATTATTATAACGATAAAAATAGATAAATAGTTATAGTCTGTAGTCTGTTGTCAATCAGACTTCCAGTGTTGTATATTATTATAACTTGTCACGTGAAAGTCTATCTTTTCTCAAATATTAAAACTGATCAAGCTTTTCACAGTTTTTAGTGTCTGATCAATTCATTCACACTTGTATCAAATCCAGCGTCTTCTGTGTTCTGTTCTGTTTTAATTTCATAAATGAAACTCGTTTAATAATCAGATTTAAGAATATAGTAATATTTCTGATAATTTATTAGCTTGATACTTATAATAATGGTATATTATATTGCGTAAATGATTTTGATTTGTTATTGTTTTTATACTATCTGGTAAGTTATTTGTATTTGATGAAGATTCTATGTGAGATTAATGGTTACTGTCCCTACTGCTAGCGAATCTGTCCAGAGATTTAGTCAGGATTGGTCAAGATTGAGTTTGTCAATTATAATGTAAAACTTGGTATGACATGTTATGATGATTTGCGTCTGCTTCTGTATATCAGTAATTTTGGAAACGATATTTATTTTGTTGGTATACCCTTTAACTACCTGTTAGTGACTGTATTGTTATAGTCATTGTAAATTAATATTAGGCATGATTTACAATAATTCTATATTTATCTACAGAACACAGAAATATGCCACTAGAGGATGCCATTGCTCTTATCAGCAAGACTTTTGAAGCATATTTGAAAGAAAGAAGTGAGAAGTTGAGAGCTACTGCTCTTCCTCCTACTGCTGTAGCAGCACCTTTTATACCACCCACTTCTGACGTCTCCTATTTATTGAACCTTCTTGCTGATAATAGACAATTAACTGTCATAGAATTAGAGAAAGTTATTGTTTATCTTAAGAGTAGAAGGGATAAAATGTTAGAAGCTGAAGGTCGTCAACTGCCTAATGAGAATGGTAAGTTGAAATTAAACAGTTCACAGGAGTATATAGTTGTTATTTCATTATATTGCTGATTAACACAAGTTTTGATGTGTATTCAATTCCATTCTGATCTTCTTTTTTAATGGTAGTGTATGTTAACTTTGATTTTCTGATGTTGAAATTACTTTACAAATATTTTTCCATATTCATCAGCTCAATTTTCTGCAGAAAATAGACTAATTTTCATTTACATATATTTAAAATTATTTTCAGCCTTAATAACGCCAAAGCCATCACCAGCAGAACAAGAGCAAGAAGAATTAAAGACTAAAATATTGAGTATATTAAATGGAGGGGGTACAGCACCAGCCAATGCTCCTGCAAGTTATGGTGATCGTGCAGTTAAAATGGAACAACCATCTCCTGTTGTCCAACAGCGACCCAATCCCTCTATGATAAACTTTGATAGTCCTAGTGTTCAGCAAGCTTTAGATAATCTTATTCAATCTGGCCCAAATCTATTAAAGAATATTTCACCTGGTGTAGCTCAGTCTTCTCAAGCTAGTAATAATGGTCGACTAGCAACAGCCAACCCATCTTCACCAGGATATGGTGGCCGACTTGCTACACAGCCAACTGGGTATGGGGCAGCACCAGGTGGCTACGCTGCCAGACCAGAAAGTGAAGCAGGCTATGGAAGTCACCATACAGGTTCTGCACAGATGTATGGCGCAACTGGACATGGAGCAGCTCAACCTCCAGGCATGAGGCGTTACTAGACAGTGGTTTTTATTGCAGTTTTAGATTCTTCGGCTATACATGGCTTTAATTTTGTGCTATCTTTGTATCATGTAAAAATCGTTGTTTCATTTTGATTATATATCATAGTGTTCATCATATTGAAGGCAACAGTAAAAGACCATGTGTAATGGTTTTTATTTTGTTATCAATAATAATGAATTCCCATGTATCATGTATCTAGTCAAGTTAATTTCATTCTTATTCAAAATTATTCAAATTTAGCCAGGAAATATGATATAAAATATAGAATGTCCTTTAGTCAGATTGAGCAGATATTTGTATATTTGTGTTCAGATAAATTTTTCTCACAGGAGATGATTTCAACAGCATTGTTCAGATCTTTTTCCATTTGTATTACTAATTGGAATAAGTAATAATGAAATGGGGCAAGATAGCAGAGAGTGCTTATAAAAAAAATAAACGGTAATAAAAAAAAACCACTAGAAATATGAAATAAACAATTTTAATAATTGATCAATGATTTATTTGTCTCAAATAAAGATACTTAAACATTAATATACCATATGTTATTTTTAAACGCGCACATGAAATGGGGGGGATTATATTGTCGTCTCCGACTCCGTGTAAGTAAGGATGAACCCTATCAAAATCAGGAAAATCGAGAATTAATTAATATGAGTTATTGCCATTGTTCTTGAAAATGCATTCAATTTTTAGCTTGTAAACGCTCTAGAAGGTCAAATTATTGACAGATTTTGACGAAACTTGGTGTGAGTGTTTATCAACCAAGGATGGACCCTATCGAAAATTAGAAGAATCGGAAAATATGAAGTTTGAGTTATTGCCCTTGATCTTTAAATCGCATTCAACGCATAATATTTCATACTGTTACTGAACTGCCAAATATTTGTGTTTAAAATCAAAGCTGCCAGTGGGCGTATATTACCTTGCCTGGCAAACTATCTTTAATAACCATTATAAACTAGATATGTTTCTCTTTGAGACCTGAACAATTGACTGTCGCTTTGAATCGATTCTTCTTGACAAAACATTTAATGTTTTGGACATCCAATAATAATTTTCAACATGCAAAAGGTAGATCTTATAATATATATACTGCATATGGGTCTGTGAACAAGAATTTTTCTTTTTGGCAATATATGTAATGTATCCTTTTAAAAAGTTTTTTACCCAGAACTAATGTAAATACTTTCCAGTTTTGTTCTTTTAATAATAAAAAAAAAAAATCTTCAAAATCTCAGCAAATACATTTTTTCATGATAACAAGTTACCTATTATAGCAGTGGAGAGATTTCATCATTATTCATGATGACACCATTACAATCAAAACATTATAATATAAGACTAAACTGACAGAAAAAATATGAAAAAATAATCAGTGACGCAAACAAAAGATGTTAAGTACTGTAATAATGTTTCTCACAAGCAATAATGCAAATTTGCTAGCAGTGTTCAATTTAGATTGGAAAAGCTGTTGCTTCCACTAAATTTCGGTTTTGGCCGATTAATTTTTATTAGCATTTAACAATCGGTTTTCTTTGCGCCAATTCTCATTAGTTAATAGAGCATGACAAAACTTTTGTGAAAATTGGAACAATGAACTCAATACAGATCTTAATACTATAGTATAAATAATATACCACTGAAATATTTTAATTTTTAATAAGATACAATGATTCGAGCAAATTAAATTAAATATAAGTTTGAATTAAAATTTTCCTGATCAAAACATCAAGATTCAGCATGAAACAAAGACATATTTTTTATTATCCACTTAAACCAATAATATAAATTAGATAAAACTACACTAATTTTATCTTGAGCTTGAAAAACAAGTATTTAGTTATTGTGTTGATATTTTATATGTTTGTTAAATAAGATATTTTGAGCTTAGAAAGAATCAGTTGCATTGAAGGTGGATTCTCACCCTTTTTGTCCCAAAGTACAAATCATCCACCAAAGAATGATAATTCCAACTGAAACAGTATCATGATCAAATATCTGAATCAAATTTGATATCCACAAACTTAATATTATGCATCAATTATTATGTTTTAAAAGTAAAATATTCAAATTTTAACTTTAAATGATTACTGTCTATTGAATTGGTGTTAAAAGTTTCTGCCTGCACAGACTTTACACCAAAATAAAATTTAATAAAACTAAAAACCAATGATCTTAAAATTTAATGAAACAAAAAACCAATGATCTTAAACAATAATGCCTCTTGTAATTTGTTATTTATGCTTACCTTATGTTTATTCTGTGAAGAACTGTTATATTTCAATAGTTTTGTGTTTACAATGATATTAAATGATTCAATATCGAAGTAGTTTGTAGGATCTCCTGTAATTTCCAGGTTGGTTATGATGAGATATTTTGAAATAGATGTTTTCATTCGGAACTGTTTACAACATGAAATGGTAGTGGTACCTGATATCTGATCTATATATGGTATTAGCTTTCTGCTAAAAGGTTTGTTTTTAAGAAAATTATTCCAAGTAGTCAGCTATGGAGATCTTAAAGGAATGTCACGATTTTTTTGTAGGTTGAAAATTTGTTTTACTCAATTTATGAAATTTGAAGAATTATGTTTTTAATTAAAAAAAAACTACTATTAATATTTTTTAACCTCAAAAAGTTTAAAACATTTGCAGTAACTTGAATCTGAAGATATAATGCAATATTCTCAGTTGTTACTTTCTGCACTTAACTTGCTACCTCTGCTCCATACCTTGGAATTTTTACGGAATCAACGGTAAATGATACAAAATGTGGAATGTATTAAACCATGAGGTGAATAATAATTCAATAGTCAGACTAAAATGGCAAAAAGGCATATGCCTTAAATTCTCATGCAATAAACTGGTAAAGTCATCCTGAAATGCTGTATAACGCATTTTATGTCAGTTATTGCCCTTGTTCCTCGAAACACTGCACAATTATTGATGGATTAGAATGAAACTTAGTAATATTGTTTATATAATTAACCAATGGAAGAGGCCAATTCAAAGACTATTTTGACTGATTTTGACAAAACTTAATAAAATTGTAAATGATCATCCATGGATTAACCCTATACATAAAAAAATACAGATGTGTATAACAATTCTAGATGCAATATATAAGATAAAATTTAATGGTTTTTAGCCTGTATACAAGTGATGACAGATTAGGAGGAAGCTTGGTGAAATCATTAATTAGGCCCATCACCTGATGAAGAGCCATATAGAGAATAGTTCTAAAAGAAATATATGAGCAAAGGTTGATTATTTTTTGGATATGAATGCTTCTGTTGTGCCAAGTGTTCTAATATAAACAAAGCTGCCAGTTGGTGTATGTTACACTGTCAGACAAGCTATCTTTTATTAATATCCAGCTATATATAATAGCACCTCATATTTTGTTACAATAACATGTACTCATGTAATTCATAGTAATGATGTTGAATCCTTTAAATATATCATCATTTTACCTTTTTATACGCCCACATCTCTCTATGTGGACGTATATTGCCGGCACCCCTGTCCGTCTGTCGGTCCGTCAGTCAACATTTTCTTATAAACGCTCTAAAAAGTAGATTTTTTGATGGAATCAAATGAAATTTGGTATGTATACATATTCATAAAACGAAGACCAAGTTCGAATTTGAGCTATTTTCGACTGTTAGAAGCAGAGTTATTGCCCTTGCCCCAAAATCTTGAATATGCTATTAGTTTTCAACCGATTTTGATGAAATTTAAAATGGATGTTATTGGACCTAAATCGAAAGGTTTGAGAAATTTTAGTTTACTTCTGATTAAATTTAAGGCTTTTTCAAGATTTAGACCACTTACGTCAGTTTTAAGGAGTTATCGCCCTTTAACCTCTATACAGTAAGTGCTTCTATCAACATCAATTGCTTGAAACACTCTAAAAACTAGTTTTTTGATGGAATCAAATGAAATTCGGTATGTGTATACATATTCATGAAACGAAGATCAAGTTCAAATTTGAGCTATTTTCGACCGTTAGAAGCAGAGTTATTGCCCTTGCCCCAAAATCTTAAATATTAACCATCCGCATGCCGTGGTGGGCGTATATGGCTTTGGTCCACTATCTTTCATACAGACTTTGACATTTCTTTGAAATTTAAATTTACTTTTTTTTAATCTTTTTTCAGGTCAACCTGAAAGGAAAATTATAGGAAAGATGTATTATATTGTATGATGACAGAATTGTAGGCTAGTGCATGTTCTCAATATGAAAATAAATGTTAAATATCTTTTATTCAAATGTTTTGTTATATTCAACAGAACTTTCGTCATATATTAAAACTAATTATATATTTCTCAAGCCAAGAAACATAGCCTACCACTTGAATAAATCAGGCTCTCACCCATAGGCCTACATATTGTGAAAAAAATCCTTTGTTAGCTCAAGTTTTCAAATAAACAGCACTATTGTTGAGGAGGTGCCACTGAGAGGTCTTTAGTGAGGAGTAACACTTGAAATTTAATGTTTCCCACAAGTTACAAATTAGCACCAAAGGGTGCTTACAGACAAACAGGCCAGAAATTGATTGTTGTCTGTAGGTTGACTGGTGGGTTGCTTCCCTTAACTATATGACTTCCTGTTGGGTATTTTTTTTTTACTATTTTAGACACTCGAAACTAGAAGTAAATTCCAAAATGATATAACTGATACTACATCCTTCAACCTATGTGGTGAAAAGATATAAGATGACCAGCCCTATCAATAAAACTTTTATTTTGTTACTGAAGAAGTATGGTAAAAAGAAAGATAAATCATCAGCCTATTCGCTAACAATAGGAAGATCCTCTAAGAAAATCGAAGTTTTACCTGGTAGTTTACTGCGATGTGTAGATGACAAAACAAAAGGACATACGTTTCATATTGTGCTAATAACTTTAGATACTGAACCTGTAGAAATTGAAATAATACCTGGTGAAGCTGAGGAAATACCCACAGAAACAGTGGAGTTACTTTATCCAATTGCCAACTGTGGGGATAGACTGAGAGTTTACAATGATAGAAATTGGCTTGCTGAGGGAAAGACTATAAAAGTTGGTGATTCAGTGTATGTTAAAATGAAGATTGATGGTTCTGAATTACCTGGTATTGTCAGATACAGAGGGAATTTCAAAGATATGAGAGGAATCCACTTTGGTGTGGAATTGATTGTAATTATTTTATTTTTAAATAACTCTGTCAACTATTGACATACTATATTGATTAGACTACCAGTAGCCTACAATTAAAGGAGTGCTATTTATTTCATCAGTCAAATAATTGAATAATGTTAACATTAATCTACAGAGAAAAAAAAGTTTCTATCAAATGGGAAGAATTAATATTGGCCTATAAGCTTATAGGCCCTATATATAAAAATGTTTTATATTTACTATTTTACTCTCAACAGGCTTACGTGTAACCCTGGCTGAAATGGCCTTTTCTTGTAATTTATTCATAGATTTTAGAATATTTATGAAAAATTAACCTTAAGCTTCTGATTTTTGTTGTTGTTGAAATTGTTAAACAGGGATTGTAGGGCTGGGCGATATATCAGTATCACGATAAATACTGGTAGCCTATAGGAATTTATATTGTTAGTAATATTGCCTGATTATTAAAAGATCCAAAATATTGCCAAATCATGTATATGGTAGTTATCATGATATCGTCATATTTTTGTCCAGATAAGATCATCTACACAATTCTCGAACCAATATCACCCAGCCCTATAAGGGATTTACCTGTATATATCATAACAGTAGTGCCCCTACTTAGCTAGTGACTATAACTGTACAACCATACGTCATTCTATGGTTCCATATGTTGTCAGTAACTTATATCTGAGCCATTTATAAATGAGTTTAGTTAAAGGTCTTATATTTTTTCAAATACACCAGAAGTTTATAAAATAGAATATAAAACTATAACTGCGAATATATAGATATTTTAGTAAGCTTTGATGATTTTGTCTGTAACTTATGCCAGTCCACTAAAAATTTAATATTGATTCTTTTTATGTTTTCCAAAACATTATAATTTGATACAGAATAATGGATTGACTATGCCCTGTTGATAATTTCTTTTTCAGGATGATCATGGAAGGGGAACCTCCAATGGATTTGCACATGGTCGTCAGTACTTCAAATGCGCGCAAGATACAGGAGTTTTTTGCACTGTAAATAAAATGCGAAGAAGAAGGGAAAGTTTTGGTCGAAGTGAACTATCTAAAGCTGAAGGCTTTCAATTTAATAATAGACCATCAGCTCAAAATGAGAGAAAAATGTTAGGTTGTAATTTAGTAATAGGTGATAGAATAGTTTGGGTGAAGGACAATGGTGAACCAGAAGATGGAACTGTAAAATGGATTGGAACATTACCTGATTCTAAGTTAAAGGATACAACAGTTGGAGTTGAATTTGTAAGTTATTTACTTGAAACAAAGGTATAAAATAAGCCTGAAATATGTTTATTTCTCATACATGGAGGGTGCACATAAACATATTGTTTCTATTTTTCGAGAAGTGTCCATACCTTGTTCTTTTCATTTTACATACAATATTTTTTAGACCTATCATTTATTCATGCTATTGTCAATAGTTGACCTATTATACATTCTTCATTACAGGACCATCCAGTTGGATCAGGTACAGGAAAATACAGTGAACATCGGTTGTTTTATGCTAAACAGAATCATGCATCTTTGATACCGGTGATGGGTCTGATAAAAGCTGATGAATATTACCCAGGTAATAATAATTATTCATATCCTGATACTATAAATCTCAAAATTTTATCAATATATACCAGTATGTATTAGATGCAAAGATGTAGGTGTTTTGAATGTGAAGCTGTTATTTTACATAAATTAATAATTAGATTAAGTTACTATTACTGCTGAGGTACATTTTTTTATTCCATCTTATTCATTTTCCTTTCATTATTTCTTTATATTTTATAAGAAAAAGCCCCTGATAACAATCATGATAGAGATAGTGGACTTTATACAGAATTTGAATCAAGTTTAAAATCTAAAATGGATAATAGACGTTACCTTGCTGAAAATACTGATAATTATTCTAAAACTACAGATAGACCGGTGAGAGTGTCATCAAAAGATGATTCTGTTATTAGAAAAGACAAATTTGATAGCCATGACAATTCGCTGGGACTTTTATCAAGTTTACCCTTATATCAATTTGATATTGGAAAAGACTTTCGTGGAAGAGGAAGTAAAGAAAATGGTTTTAGTGTGTATAAAACTGATAGACATAATGGAAGCAAATATACAAATACAGCTTCAGGCAGGCAGTATGGTGAAGGAATGAATCCCATGTATGAATATTCTAAACTTGAAAGTAAGTATAAAATTATTAGTGCTAGATCTAGATTTCTGCAGAGTGCCAGATTGACATTCCTTCCTAAATGCTACTTCAGATATGTTATTATTACGTTTTTTTTTTATGTGATTTTTCGATATTAAACAGTGAGGTCATTCTTGACTCATTTACAGCTGTCACTCACAATGTAACTATTCTTTCTTGATGTCAAGGATGATTGTGTGAAGGCAATGAAAATTATTTCCTTTCCTTATTTATCTTATTCCTTATTTACTTTTTTCTATTTTTACTAAATTTCGGTATTGCATCTATTTTTACAAAACCCAAGGAACATGTATGTCATAATGTTTATATTAGAGGATTTTTTTTACTTTTTGGGTATTTCCAGTTTCTATTATTATTTCATATTTTCACATTTTGCCAAATAAATCAAGAAGTTATAATAAGTCTAAGGTATAACAGTAAATAATCTCTTGATGGATATCGCATATTTTAGAGTTGTTAAAAGTGAATTTCTTATATGCAAATCTGATTGAAAAATTTATGCACTTTACCAGTAATTCAAATTTTAGACCAAATTTTTTTTTTCGTTATTACTACTGTCTCTTCTTAGGTTATTCAGGCCAAGAAAATGTTATGTTAGTTTGTTATCGAAATTTCAATTCTTTTTTTTTTTTTTTTTTTTTTTTTTTTTTTTTTTCGATTTTTACACACCTTCCTGTGCTTAGACTACAGTAGTTGCAACAACCTTTCAACTATCATAGACCTTATATATAGGCGACGATGTGCATAAATATAAATTGGAAGATTTTTGCAAAACCGGAAGTGCCACAGTTCAACATGTGTAAAAAGTCAAAAATCGGCTCTAGAAGGCGTATTTTTGCATCGATTTTCTTTGGGTTTTCATTTCTACAATCTACCTGTAATTTCTGACCTGATAGCAATTAAAAGATTTCAAATTTCGAAAATTCGTAGCATACATTTTTTGGCCGATTTTCGAAACTTTTGGACCATTTTTCAGTTTTTTTCGGATTAATCTGAAATTTTGATAAAAGATGCATGTCACTAATGTAAACCATTTGACGTATTCCAAATTTTTGCGTCACTTCCGGTTAAAGTGGACTGCTGTAACACGTGACCTAATTAACCTAGAGGGTTAATTTTTTCGGTTTCCTAATGTTCTTCTCATGCACTTTACATAGATATAGAACAATTGCTTTTTTAAAGCAAAATTGAAATTCGTGATTTTTTCAAATTTGAGTTTTGTTTTACCATATTTGTGTCATTTTGATCTTGTTGTATGTATATCTTATGACCTATTTTATGGAGAACCTTGATATTCGGAATACAACTAGACACTTTGAATATGAATTCACCTATGGCAAAAAAATTGGGGTGGGTGTGGCACATCCGGGTTGAATTACTAATTGTTTACATTTTGGGGCTGGGGCATAACTCGCATAGGATACGTTTGTTAAAAAAGGGACTTTGCACACAATTACCTCATCCTTTTGGCCAGTTTGTGTTAACAGCTCAGTTGTTTCAGCTTTATAGTTCCAAAAAAGGAACGGGTTTTAACATTTGGATATTTTCATTTTTCGATTTTGACCTTTGTTGACATTTGTTGACCTATATCTTTTGACTTGAATAATGTAGAAGCTTGAAATTTGAAACACAACATAACATTTGGAATGTCAATTACCCAATGCAAAAAAATTAAGGTGGACGTGGCACATCGGGGTAATATTACTCATTATTGATATTTTTGGCCAGGAGCATAACTCGCAAAGTATACGTTTGTTCAAAATGGCACTTTTGATACAATTATCTCATGAATTGAGCCACTTTGTCTTAGTAGTTCGGTTGTTTCCGCTTCTTAGTTCAAAAAAAGCAACAGGTTTTGGAAATTCAAAATTTTCAATTTTTGACCTTGACCTTTGATGACCTTGACCTTTATTGGGTCAAAGGTCATTGACGTTGTCTATTAGTTTATGCTTTCATATTTGACATCTGACGTCTACTTTCGCTTTTATAGCTGTCTAAAAACATCCAAATTCGCAACTTTGGACTGCTCTAGCACGTGACCTAATTAACCTAGAGAGTAAATTTTTTCGGTTTCCTAATGTGCTTCTCGTGTACTTTACATAGATATATAACAATCGTTTTTTTAAAGCAAAATTGAAATTCGTGATTTTTTCAAATTTGAGTTTTTTTTTTTTACAATATTCGCAACTTTTTGAGCTTAGTGTATGTATATGTTATGATCTATTTGATGTAGAACCTTGATATTTGGAATATAACTAGACACTTTGAATATGAATTCACCTATGACAAAAAAACTTATGTGGGCGTGGCACATCCGGGTTGAATTACTAATTGTTTACATTTTGGGGCTGGGGCATAACTCGCATAGGATGCGTTTGTTCAAAAAGAGACTTTGCACATAATTACCTCATCCTTTTGGCCAGTTTGTGTTAACAGCTCACTTGTTTCAGCTTTATAGTTTCAAAAAAGGAACGGGTTTTAACATTTGGATATTTTCATTTTTCGATTTTGACCTTTGTTGACTTTTGTTGACCTATATCTTTTGACCTCTATTATGTAGGAACTTGACATTTGGAACATAACGTAACATTTTGAATATTGATTAACTTATTCAACAAAAAATTGAGTTGGGCGTGGCACTTCCGGGTTAAATTACTCATTATTGACATTTTTGGCCAGGGGCATAACTCGCAAAATATACATTTGTTCAAAATGGAACTTTGCATACAATTACCTCGTATTTTGAGCCAATGTGTCTCAGAATTTCGGTTGTTTCCGCTTCATAGTTCAAAAAAAGGAACAGGTTTTGGAAATTCATAATTTTCAATTTTTGACCTTCACCTTTGTTGACCTTGACCTTTGTAGGATCAAACGTCATTGGCATTAGCTATCTATTTATACATTTATATTTATGTCAACTTCCGGTTTTATAGTCGTGTGCAATTAGACATTTTGATGACGTATATCTCTTGATCTTGTCCTTTTTAGACCTTCTCCTTTACAAGATCAAAGGTCGTTGACCTTGGCTATCTGCCGATACTTTCATTTGTGACGTCTGACGGCCGCTTAGGGTATTAGAATCTTCTAAAAAATGAAAATTTGTCAACTTTAGACTGTTCTTGCACATGATCTAATTATCGTGGTAGGTTGATTTTTTTGGGGTCTTTTGCAATTTGCTACATTTGCAAAGTCCCACTCTGTGCCACATGTGGCTCTAGTGTATATATATGATCACCTGAGTGAAATTGGTCTGTTAACCATACCAGTAAGTGTTTGAATTTGAAAGAGTGCCAAAGATCAGAAAATTATTCAAGTTTTTTATTTGTGTTTTAGATGAAGAGAATGAAATTCTGTCCTTCCAAAATAAAGTTACATCATCACCAAATGATCTATCAATTGGCTGGAGAGTTGCTGTTCCAATCAAACAAAATATGATATATGGTGTAATAAGATGGATGGGAAAATATGAAGGAAAAGACACAGCAGGCATTGAAACGGTAAAATAATTTATTCTGTATATTCCATTCACTCTTTACTTGATGAACATTGATGAACATTGGCTCTATATGAAGATTGCAAGACTGCTCCTTATACATAATATTTTCATGTCTCAACAGTGGACCATCTAGACAAATCAGGAAAGGGAAGACTGTATTGTAATTCGTTTTGCAGGATGAAGAAATAGCTGCAGGAACAGATGGAACTTTTATGGGAGATAGACTTTTTGACTGCGCTCCAAAACATGCGTTATTTGTACCCTTGGACAAGTGTAAAAAGGATAAAAGATTTTGTACTGCCACTAATAAACCAACTCATAATCAAAATGGATTTGGATCCTTAGAGACACCTGATATCAATGGTGATATTTCCCCTCCAACTTCTTTAAGTGATCAACAGGTTTGGGAGAAAGTTTGTGGTAAAAATAAAGGAATTCAAGGACATCATAACTCATGTTATTTAGACTCTATGTTATTTGGAATGTTTTATTTTACCACTGTATTTGACTCTATATTATATCGTCCAAAAGGACAGAGTGATATTGAACCTTATGAAACTGTACAGAAAGTTTTAAAAGAAGGAATTGTAAATCCACTAAGAAGGTAATTTTTATACGCCCACATGAAATGGGGGGCGTATATTGTCGTCACCCATGTCCGTCGGTCCGTCCACAATTGCTCGTAAACACTCTACAGGGCACAATTCTTGACAGATTTTAACGAAACTTAGTATGTGTGTTCGCAATCACCCAAGGATAGACCCTATTGAAAATCAGTGAAATCGAAAAATATTTAGCATGAATTATTGCCCTTGTTAATATTTAGCTCGTAAACACTCTAGAAGGCACAATTCTTGACAGATTTTGACGAAACTTGGTATGAGTGTTCGTAATCACCCAAGGATAGACCCTATTGAAAATCAGCGAAATCGAAAAATATTAAGTATGAATTATTGCCCTTGTTCTTGAAACGCGTTCAATTTTTAGCTCGTAAACACTCTAGAAGGCACAATTCTTGACAGATTTTGACGAAACTTGGTATGAGTGTTTATCACCCAAGGATAGACCCTACATGTACAGCATCATAAGATACTATAAATAGACCAAGTGGAAAATCCAAGACAGATATCCAATCATAGCTTAGTCATGTGACATCCCAAGATGCAGCAGTTTATCTGATGTCATTTTATAAATGTCATTCAAGAGAAAAGGTTTGCTTAATCATTTCATTTTCACATATTGTGCTGATACAAAAATGAAGTTAAACATGGGTCATAGGGGAAAGGTTTTGTTTCTTGGAAGATTGAATTGAGTTGCTGGATAAGTAGGCTACTATAGGCATAGGCTACTATAGGCCTATAAATGAGTTTGTATGTCAGACTGCAATATTGCGGTGGCTGTGTATTTATTTTAGTTTATTTTATTATTTGAATTAAAACTTTGTTAATTTATCACATTTTTTCTTATTCCTGTGGCACATTGAGCAGTAATTACTTATAGAATTATTGCTAATGGATAAACTGTCATAATAGTAAAATTCAATTCTTTTTTTGTCCTTATTAGCCAAGACAGCTGCAATCAAGTATACTTACAAATCCATTGCATTTCATGCAAACTAATCAAATCTTCGAGAAAAAAAATGTAAGGATATAAAAAGATTAAATTCAACAGGAGAAAAAAGGTGGTAAATATTAGCAACTCCCACCTGTCATAAACTCGATACATAAAACTTTTAAAAAAATATTTCAACCTAATTTGCTTGAATATAATCTGCAAATACACAATTCATGACAGACTTATTGAAATCACCCAAGGATAAATCTGATCAAAAATCTTGTAAAACACGTAATTTTTATTCTACAAAGCAGAAGTCTAAAACAAATTTGACAACTTGATGAAATTGATCACAATCAAAACTAAACTTTTTGAAATATAAAATACTGCCGTTATTCTTACAAATGTGTTTGATTTTTAACTTGTGATGGCACAGTTTGTGATGGATTTGGGTATAAGTTGAATATTTCCTGGTGTCTATGTTTGCTATTTTCTAACAAATATTCAATTTCAAACAAAGCTATCAGTGAGCGTATATTATCTTGCCAGGCAAGCTATCTTCATTTTATCCTTTAACCTTTCTGTATTCTTTCAGATATTCATTAATTGTTACCATAATCATCTTATCTGATTTATGTGATTTAAATTTAATATGATTTAGTTAATTTTTCTATTCAGGTAATGAGATAAATCTGACAAGATTCTGGTATAATTTATAAATTATTATTTATAGAAATCATTATGTGCGAGCTGATAAAGTGATGAAGTTACGTGAGTTATTAGACAAATATAGTAATATACCTGGTATGATGAATGAAGAAAAAGGTAAGGGAAATAATGAATGTGATCAAAAATCAGAAAAATCGAAAAATAATTACTATTATTGTCTTTGTTCTTGAAAACGTATTAAATTTTAAGCTCTTAAACACTCTAGATATCACAATTCTTGACGGATATTGACGAAACTTGGTGAAGCTCTAGAAGGTTCAATTATTGACAGATTTTAGTGACACTTGGTGTGAGTGTTTGTTATCAACCAAGTATGAACCCTATCAGAAATCAGAAGAATCGAAAAATATTTAGTATGAGTTATTTCCCTTGTTCTTAAAACGCGTTCAATTGTTAGCCTGTAAACACTCTAGAAGACCAAATGCTTGACAGATTTTGACAAAACTTGTTAATATTATTCAGTATCGCCTCAAAAAGTTCAAAAGAAGTGTATATCTGAAGGTTGAATATTTCATACTGGTAATTGTTACGGTACTGCCAAATATTTTTATGTAAAATCAAAGCAGCCAGTGGCTGTCTGGCAAGCTATCTTGTATATATTGTATACATTTTCTTCTTTAGATCCAGAAGAATTTTTAATGGCATTGTTATGTCATGTTATGAAAGCTGATCCTTTCTTACATCTGAGGTAGGTATTTTCCATTCATAAGTGTTGAATTTAAATATCAAAAGTAACATTTACAATAAATTTTGATGGTAAGATTTTTTGTTATTTCCACCTATTATCCACCTGATTCTCAAATGATTGATATATTGATATGTTCTATTTTTATTAAAACTATAGCTCTGGAGAACACACATATTTCTATCAGTTATTTATGGAGAAAGATGATCGTTTATTATTACCTACTACACAACATTTAGTTGAAATATCTTGTTTACAAGGTGGTGTTAAACTGAAGGAGGTTAGTTATACACATTTTAAACTTTTTATAAAGTTCACATTGCATATAGATCACTGAAAACAGTATTATATAATCTGATCAGAATACAACTAAAGATAAACTTCTTAACATGTATGAATGAGAAAATATGGAAATAAAATGTCAGAAACTGTATTTTAGTCCAATTGTTTGAGACTTGTTCTTTTAGTTTAAACACCTTAGCTGTTGTGTAATTGAGAGTAGGTAATACATTCACATTTATTTACTAATTAGATTACATTTGGAGTAGCGTAGCTGAAGTGTTCAGTGTTAATTCATGGGACCAAATGCAAACAGTTTGACTATAGTGTTGTAAATTCTGTTTACAGGTTCCATCATGTTTAATCATACAGATGCCAAGATTTGGTAAAGATTATAAGATGTATGGGAGAATTATACCAAGTTTAGAATTAGATATAACTGATATTCTTCAATATTGTAAGTTTTTTTTGCCTCTTAAAGAATGCTTATTCTTAATAATTCAATATTTTCAATATCAAAAACATCTTAAATTTACATTTAATTAAACAGAGTGTACTATTGTTAATTACTGCTTATCTGATATTGGTGTTTGGCATCGCAGAGACCCAATTGGTTATAATAATAATTTATTAATCATAACATATGCATCACAATAACAACATAATAACAACAATATTTATTTATGGAAATAATCATCAGTAGTAGTTTATTAACATTTACACTGTCAATGTCATTGTTATTTTCAAAAAAGGCGAGCAAGTCGTCAAGTAGACATCTGGCCTGTAATGATGTAATGGCCGAAAAGCTTGTTCATTCACGTCTTCCTCGACCTCGTCCTCAGAAACATTACATTTATCACCAGTGATCACCTCTGAATCCACGTTGAGGTAATCCTCAGCTGCACATGAAATATGTATAATGTTGGCTTAGTTGAAGACTAGTTCTCTAATCACATGTACTACATATATGGTATATGATATCATTTTAGGTCCAAGAGAATGTGTTATCTGTGGACATTTAGCAGAATTTGAATGTAAAGAATGTTATCAATCGATGGGTTCTCCAGGTTTAAAGGATACAGCCTTTTGTGAACAGTGTAGCGCAAGGGTAGGCAATCACAATATTACAAAAAAATTACAGGTCATATTCACAGCAAGCATTGAGTTGACATTGGATCTGATTAGTTGTGGAATCAGAAATGTTATCAAATTACCATAGCCAAGCAGACACCAATAATACTTGCTACTGACTAAGCTCTCCAACGCAATGGGATAAAGAGTTGTGAGCAGACACCTGAGAGAATGGTCATGGCTTTATGGTTTGTTATGCTTTTGAAAAGTTAAACAAATACCAAGTGTTTTTTCTGTTTATACATCGATAAACTGAACAAAAGTTCAGGTCATTCCTTATAATTAAATCAACTTGAATACATGTTTAAATATTTATCTAAAATAGCAACAATTTAAGGCATTAAAATGGCGCATAATTACGTAAGATTTTAACATAACGTTAATGAACTAACAATAGAGACGTCGTAGAGAACAGCCAATCAGCAATAAGTAGGTCACACTATTTATAGCCTACTGTCTATTGCATGAAAGTTGACGGAGCGTCCACACTGAAAGTTCAGTTATTGAAAGACAAGTTCCAAATATGTCCGAAAATCGTGATTTTGTTGATATTTGGAGTGTGCACATTCGAGGGAATTTGGAAAATACCGTAATCATTCAGTGAAGTGTCGATTTCGGCTCTGTTGACATTCGAAGGAACAACATCGATGCCATGTAATGGCCACATCAATCAAACTCCGTGAAAGGGGGCGGGGCGTATATTTACATTCCGTTTACACAGATATAAACTAAATTCACATGACCACTGTTATCCAATGAAATTGCGTGATACTGTTTAAAATGAAATGGTGATTTGATTATAGATTTATAAATAGTCACATTAACAATACCTACATGATTTGTTTTCATTTGTAGATTCACAAACATTTATCCAGAAAAAATCATGAAGTGGATAGAATTGAAGTTCCAATGGAGTACTTAGAATACATAACACAACAATCTAAAGGTGGAACAGAGCCTGAATATACAGTTCCAAGAGAAAAGATGGAATTATTTGCTGTTGTTTGTATACAGACTAGTCATTATGTTTCCTTTGTTAAATGTGGTAGTGGTAAAGATGCCCAGTGGGTTTTCTTTGATTCTATGGCAGATAGAATGGGTATGAATATAAGTATTATTTTGCTCGATTTAACTATTTAAGATTGTTTGTCATAATTATTTCTATTCAGTCTTGGATCATAGGTAAGATATTTTTCACAATAATAAGTTTCTCATGGGTAATTTTTTTTTATGATATGATAAGACATTATTGAAGAGAATATTGGATCAAGTTGTCTGCCTTCTGAATTAATTTTCATTTACCCCGTTAATTAAGTTGAAAGAATTAAATCTTCTGTTTTGCAGGTGAACAAACTGGTTACAATATACCTCAAGTAACCCCTGTACCAGATCTAGTAAACTGGTTATCAGAGACTAAATTTGAAGAATTGGCTACAGTGAGTGATGACAAGATATTCCCAGAACACATGAGAAGGTTATTGAGTGATGCCTATATGTGTATGTATCAGAGTCCAGATGTCATGAAATTTAGATAACTACTGTTATAAACATTGTTGTACACTTTATAATATGCTATTCGGTCTGTTTTTAGCAACAGTTTTCCTACAGTTTTTATCTGAAATAAGTCACTAGTTATGAGACCTGACACTAACAATATTTCTTTAGTGAAACTGCAAGTTATTGCACCTTATTTGTTTTCATGATTTGGTTTGGTTTGGACATGCAGTTTCATTTAAGGTATTGATAAACTCACAAGATTTTGATGACTTATAGTTTTACTCTGACAAGTTAGCAAAACATTCTGTGATGATTGTTGTTGAACTGGGGTATTATGTGTGAGATGTTGCAGGACAATTATTAGTGTACTGTAGAATGGTATTTCACAACCATAACCAGTAACACGGGCACTATTTCTTTATACCCAGTGATTGCCAGAAAATTTGTGATATTCTGACAAGTGCGGAATATCCCCATAAAACAGAGTTCTTCTGTCTCTTCTCCATCCAACAACTGTAAAGATAGCTATCAGAGGCTGTAATAGAGGCAGATGTTTTGGTTTAGGGGCACTTAATAAAAATGCATATTGGCTGCAATCAAGTAATTTGTTTTGGCAGTACATCATTACTTTGTGAGGCCAAACAATCACACAAGGAATTTTTTGTTTTTGACAAGAAGATATTTTCGACCCTAGTCAAAATTACTTTACTTTATATAATTCATGTGTAATGAAATAGAACAAGTGAAATAGTTCAACATAACTTTATTAAATATTCAGATTATGGTGTCAGGTTAATCAGACTAATCTCACATATTGAGACTGCCAAATAGTAATCAAGCCTCAGAAACCACTATTAATAGTTGTTGGCTAAAACTATATATTCATGTGATATTTATGTGAAATTATTTATTTTGTTCATATGTATATATAATGTAGAAATTATGTAACTGTATATTGCTGGATACATGTGCATAAACATTTTAAACTACAGCATAAAGATTTCTTTAACATAAACCTACTGGTATATTAATGTATTATGAAGTAAATATAGCCATGTACATGTGTGTACTGTACAATGGATTGGTATAGTATATCAGGTAAAGTAGAAAGCTACATTATTATGTCAAAGTTGGCATCAGTAATTTAGTAAAACAAGTGACTGCCTACAAACATGTTCAAGTAGCAGAATACTTCACCCCGTTTCTGCTAATGTATATAAATAGCCAATTAAATTAGTGATTAGGCATTTGAATTTGTAATAAATATAACTATCATTTGTGAAAAAATACATTCAACAAAATGATTGGTTGTGTGTTTCTCTAGATTATCTCCCTTTAGCTGAGAGCTATAGATATAATGTAGTGTGTTAACTGATTGGATTTACATGGTACAATAAGAATTATAAGAATTCCTCTTAGTTACTAATTAATTTTGGTGGGATTTTGTACCAAATCAAGAAAACTTTCCATGAAAATGCTATAAGGGTCAGGAGGTTGCGGACTATTGAATTCAGTTTGTATCCAAGGTATATTGAAACATCAAACAGTTCAGAACTGGGCTTCATTTGATATATAAAGTTCCTTGAATTTACCTCCATCTTACTTGGATCAGGCATAAATAACAAGTCAGACAATTCCGCCTAAAATATGGTAAAATTAGAAGTAAAAGCTATATAGTAGTGAACTCCTCATGATTGGTGTTCAGTTTAGGTTGTTTGGTGTAAGAGGAATAAAATAAATGTACATTACAATGTCTGAAAGATGATACAAATTACAGTTGATTTCTAATAATTAATTGAGAAATTACTGTTCATCATAGAAGAACCATGGGGGAAAAGTTCTTGTCAGATTTCTATACTTTGTCCATATGCAAGTTATCAATTCAAGGAATATTATTGTTTGCATTAACAGCTGATGCAACTATAACAATGAAAATTTGATGTCTCGTTTGTCTCCAATGAAAATGACAGAAGTTTGTTGTTTTCTCCAGATCATGTGTGCTGTGTTAGCAATAACTTATTTTTATCAGCCGGCAAGCCCAATAATCATACAAATGTGTCCATTGAAGGACTAGTGTTCACTTTTCCAAAATCAAATTACCAAGATCATTGGTTCAGCAATTCATACCATAGCAGTGTATTCAAATATGAAAAATACTGAATATATATATATATATTTTATTCTTTTGGTTTGAAATAAATTTTAACCAATGTAATATGACAATAATTTTAGCAGTTTGTATAAAACTTGGAATTTACTGGTCAGTATTACAAATGAAGCATAAAAGCTAAACATTGATTGTTGCACAAATAAAATAAATAAAATGAAAAAAAAATGCCATAAATCAAAATATATAACCTCTGGAATGTAGTTGAAAACATTAAAATAATAATAGTAGTAAAAGGCTATATACAAAAAATTGAATTACAAATGAAATTAAAGTAATGATACAAAAATTGAAAAGTAAGGAATATAACTTGAAAGAATAAAATATAAGTGAAAAATATAGTTTGTTCAGAAAAGATATTTGTTTCACTGAATATATACAGCAGTATCAGTTATATTGTTCTAAATGAAATTCAAGCACTATGAAGGAATGTCTTTTATATTGTATAATTGTTAGTAACATATATAACCATTGTAGAAAATTTATACAAAGGCACAAGCATTAATAAATTCTATAAAATATAACATTCTTCAACTCTATCTACAAGTAGGTAAGGCACAAGTGAATGACAGAGTAGAAAAAATAACTTCTACCACAGAAAAAATATAAAATTGCATGACACAGACAAACTAAGAACAATTCTCAATATTCCCATTTTTGTATACAACAAGATTCACACAAATTTGTCCACACTACAAAAAAAAATATTTGAATTTGGTTTCTATTACAATTTGTTTAAAGTAACAATGTTTGCTAACTAAACTAAAATTGTAAGAAATTACTCTTACTGTTCCTTAAGCCACCAAATCCAAATATATTTCTTTACCTACCACCAAACTAACTAATAATATACAAAATTTAATCTAAAATGTAATCTAAACCCTCAGAATTGATGGAGAATTTAAGGCACTGTATTTAATATTTTCAACATTTGTGTTAAAGTGCGAAAAATAAGTTTTGACTGTTGTGAAATATGGAATGGCTGTAAACAATTCACCGTAAAGATAAAATATCAAAAGGTTGATTAAGGCACAAACCAGAAAATTGAATTTAACAAATAACTTGGAAGTATTGGAATGGTTAAACTAAAACAACTGTAAAAGTTACTGTAAAAATGGAAGCATACATTAATGGTTTTAGGAAAATAAACCTATAAAAAACATCTAATTTCTACAAAAACTATAAAGTATGTAAAGGGAAGTTATTATATAACAATAAATTTGAGGCACTTCTAATTTTCCTTTTAATATCTGGAATGGTTATAACATAATTGCATCACAATCAAAATTGCATAACATTTTTAACATATGGGAAGACATCTTTAAATCTTTCATAAAAAAAAATAACTCTACAAAAATTTGTTCAACAATTTGAATAAGGCATAGTTTATATGGAAGGTTTGAGCTTTTTCACGACAATTTTAACAACATTTAACTATAAATTTAACTGAGCAGCTTAAAATAATAATTGTCTTTTCACAACCTTATTTTATTGGAATGAATCTATAAACTGATTGGTATGATATTCAATTTAACTTATTTACAAACTATCCAAGTCCTAACTTACATCATTGCACAAAATATATGGCAGTTAATGTAAATATTATAAGTAACATTAAGGTTATATGTTCATATTGTAATAAATGATTTAAGCAGCACTCACTAGATACTTATAATAAAGTAATACCTAACAAATCCCCATATGATTTTGTTTCTAACATCCAGGATTGTAATTCAACTGTCTCAGAATTCATTATCAAACCTCTTCTTTCAATCAGCATTAAAATAAGTTTCATAATAGTAGTATGAAGGAATGATATAAGCAAACTACACGACACTAAAACAATCAAATTTAACAGTTAAACATATATACATCAGGTTGTTTATAATCAATCTATATAATTAATGATTAAATAATATATTAATTAATGAAAAATATCTTCTTTTTGCTGATTAAGCATATTAAGTAAATTCTAATAAAGTACATTCAATCTATATTGTATAGATATATATTGTCAACATTAATTGCACTTTTAACTTTGACCAATTGTATGTTGGCGTTCGTGAGTTATCATATCACTCTTCATATCAAATTCTCTCTCACAATATTGGCATACATAGACTTTAGTTGTTGGATTCTCAACATTATCCAATTTCATCTCAACATCGTTTTCCCCTTGTGATCTATCCTCAGATTTTTGGCTCTCTGAAACAGTAGAGTCTGGTTCACTTTCAGACCTAACTGTTTTTATTGTGACCTTCAAAGCCTTTTTATCTTCTTCAGAATAATTATTTGGTTCCTTCTCTCGCCTTTCTAGCATCAGTTTTAAAGCATCCATTGGTGTTCCTGGGAAGTGAACTTGAATGTGCTCCAGTATATCTGACTCTGTTGTACAACTGAAATCACAGTATGGACAAGAAACACTATTTCTAAAGTTATGTCTATGTTCGTGTTCATCTAAAAGTGTCTTTGTAGTTGTACTGAAAGGACATCTATTACATTTAAACTCTTCTTCACTCTGGTCACTCAGCACTTCATCATTGGTGGAACTAAAATAGAGTTGTGGACATGTTATTTTAGAGCTACCTGGTTCAATCACTTGAATGCTAGAAGAATGAGGAGATTTGGCAGATGATTTGATATTGGTGCTCTCATTGTGACCTTGTTCTGGATCATGTGTTTTCATATGGTTTTCAAGGAGTTGAGAATTGTGGGAATGATAGGGACATCGAGTACATTTAAATATCCTTTTACTTGGAGAAGTAGAAGAATCAGATACTTCATGCAGTTTCTGATGTTGACACATTAGAGTCCATTTATCAACACTGTAAGAACAGTCAGTACATTGGTGACGGGCTGAGTTCTTGTGTAATGCTCTATGGTTTATAAAACTGTTGTTGTTAGCTGTTTTAAAAGGACAATCAGTACATGAATAAGAAGTTTCTTTACCATAAAGTTTCTCTAGCTCAAACTCATCTTCCTCATCATCATTGGTAGTAGAGGTTGATCCCAAAGCATACTCTCGGTTCATAAAAACTAACTCTTCTGGGCTGTTATCATATCCATTTTCATTACTGTGAACTCTTCGATGTTGGTAAAGTAAATTAAGTCGATCAACACTCCAGTTGCAGTAGTCACAGATAAACTTCTTGTTACTTCCATGCATTGATTTGTGGACATTATAGCTCTTCAGTGAATTACATTTGTATGGGCAAATATTGCAGATATGTCTCATCTCTTCTTTAATTCCTTGGGGATTTTCCTGGTTTGTGGAAGAAACTGCCTCAGAAGCAGACGTGTTCATCAAATTAGCTACTGGTGGATTATCATTAAAGCCTTCTTCTTTTGAATGAAGCAGCCTGTGTTGAAGTAATGGTGATAAACTTTCTTCAGTTAAAGAACAGTAGTCACATTTATACTGATTCTCTGTAAAGTGTAGATTGATATGTTTCTCTAAATCCTCATTTGTTTCACATGTGAAAGGACAACCTTTACATGACTTCATGTCACTGACTTCCACATCATTGTTTTCAGTTCTTGTGTTGGATTCTGGACCTTGACTTTCATCCTCAAAGGGATTTACAAGGTTATCACTCTTCAAATTCTTGTCCTTAAACTGCTGGATTAATTTGTCAGTATCTCCACCATGAAACTTCATGTGTTGGAAGAGTAGATAGTCTCTTGTAGCACTATAGTTACAAAGAGGACATCGGAATCTGCTCTTGGCAACATGTTGCTTACGATGTTTGACCATGTTGTCTTTGCAGAAAGAATTGTAGGGACATCTTGAACATCTATATCTAATTCTTCTGGATTTATTCAGACTAGTTCTAGCTTGAATAGTCAATAATTTATCTTTAACAGGAGGTTTCCTGTTCAGCACCAGTTTGTTGAAGGTACTTTTAGAGGGACTCTTTGGTTCCATTGGCTGATTGTTCTCATGGAGTTGCATGTGTTGGGTCAGCATCATAACAACATCAGTACTAAAGTCACATTGCTTACATCTATACATACCATTATAACCATGACATGAAAGATGCTTATCAAGGTCTTCTTGCATGACAGCTTTAAATGGACATTTACCACAATGAATTGGCCCAGCTTTCTTCTTCTCCTTTTGTGCTCGCAGAGCTTTAACTAGATTATTCATGGCTTGGACAGTCTCTGGCTTGTCTTCATTAAAGCTGGTTGGGTTGTGTTGTCGTGCATGATTAGTTGTGTTGGCAGCATTGGTACTGATATATGAGCATTTCTTACACTTAAATACTCTTCTGCCATTATAAGTACAAATTTGGACAGGAACTCCCTTCAACATCAATTCTTCTTTGATCTGTAATCCAGCAGTGGCAGTAGAATCATTGTCATCTGAACCATAAGATGAAGAATAGTCTCTACTATCTGGTTTTGGTGAAACATCTCCAGTAGTGGCAGTCTTTCTCCATTGGTCAGTATGTGTACCTTTCATGTGTTGATATAATAAATTCAATCTATCAATACTGTAATCGCAGAACCAACATGTGTGTTTACAGTTACTGCCATGTCTTTCAATATGACGTAAATACGTCACAGCATTAGGAGCGGTAAATGGGCATTTGGTGCATTGGAAGGACTTAGCTTTCTTTTGAGGACTGACAGTTTTCCTGAATTTCATGGGATCCATATTATTAGGCAAAATCGGTCTCTCTTTGTTGACAGATGCCACATGGGACAAAACCTGTGAGGTCATCAAAGCTGGATTAAGTAGATATGGGTTCCCTCCAGTGTACTGGTTAAGTTGTTTCATATCAACTCCCATATTCTTCATTTGGTTACTAGTTGCAATATAATCTCGTGCTGATTCTGCCATTTCTTGACTGTTGAGTTCAATAGGATGTACATTTTTACCATGATGATATAAGGTGGTAACATGAGCAAATGTAGCATCACACCATTCACAAGTGAATTTTCGAGAAGCTGGTACTATAATTCCCCCAGATAATTTTTGGGGCTGATTGTTGGACTCTGGTTGCTTGTTGAGATATTGAGGTCCTGCTGCTAAAGCTGAAGCAAGCCTTGGTGTATCAGATGATGAAATGTTCTCAGACTTCTTATATTGTTCTAAGGAATCCATGGGTTCATTATTGTTTTCTTCAATTTCTTCATCCATAAAGAAAACCTCCCATTCATCTGGGTTGAAGTCGGAATGTGTGCTGATATGGTCAAGAAGAGAGTCTTTGTCTTTGAAGCTTTCGTCACAATAAACACATTTAAATTGTTGATCGTCTTCTTCATGGTCAAGTTCATGAGTTTCTAGGAGATCTTTACTCTTACAGACAAAGTCACATTTAGAGCATTGGAATGTTTTAACTGGTTTTCTTGGATGTTTCAGTCTAGCCTCATCCATGTCGGTTTTTGGCGATTCTGAAGTTTGAGAAGCAGCTGGAGAGTTTTGTGATGGAGCTGGTGATGAGTTTCCAGAGTTGTTGGAATGTGTAACACGGTGTTGAAGGAATGATGCTAAATCATTGACTTGGAATGAACACTGTTTACACTTGAATCGTCCTGTATTTCCAGACTTTGATTCATGGACTTGAAGATGAGCTTTGAAAAGATGCTGTTGATCAGTCGAGAAGTAGCATTTGTTGCATTGGTAGTTGTTCTCTGAATCTTCAGCATCACTGTTACCAGCATCATTCTGTGATTCCATCATTTGAGCAGCACTTGTATAATGGTTATAGGTTCTCATATGTTTCTTCAAATCACATTTCCATCTGGATCCATAGCCGCAAACCTCACAAGTAAAAGGCTTGTTTTCAGAATGAAGAACAGCATGTCGCTTCAATTCGGCTGGACTAGTTCCCACAAACTGACATTCTAAACAATGATAAAGACCTTCATTGATTAAACTACGGAAGACAGGTTTTCTTGAATTGATTCCTTCTTTCATAGCCTTTTCTATGTCACGTTTATCCATCGTCATCTTCGCCATAGATGCCAAGGCAGATTCATTAAAATTATTTGCCTCTGCCAATTGTTGGTATCTGAAGCTCTGCTGTGGTGTCTGTTGTTGTAGACGACCCTCTGGCATCACCATCACATTAGGGGGTGCAGTTTTTCTAATTTTCGTAGTATCTATTACATCTCGAATAGTTCCACCTCCACCACATCTCTTCAAATGCTTCACAACATCCCACTTCCATTTACTTTTATAACTGCAGCGTGGACAGTGATATGGTTTGTCTTCAGAATGGTTTTTCATATGTTGAGTTATTTCAGATGGCCATCTGGCTCTGTATTCACATCGTTGACATTTATATGGTAGAAGAATAGAAGAATCATCTGAGATCATATCATTTAATTGCTGCTCTTTACTTCCTTGTGGATTATTCAATCTATTTAAAACAGCAGCAGCTATAGCTTTCTGAGTTGTCTCATTTATTGGTCGGCTTGCTAAAATATTTTCCCTTTCTTGAATTAAATTAGCCATTTCCTCATCATCCATATCTGAGAATCGAGGAAGAGATGTAGGTCTTTCACCAGCCATACCCATACTTCTACCAATGTTAGCCAAACCATTGACATCAATATTGAGATTACTAAGATGTGATAAACTGTTTTTACCATCTTCATCATCCATTCCTTCATATCCATCAGTTACACCTGAGTCAGACAGTCTCCGTCTTTTACTTGGAGGATCTTCACTTCCGTGTCTAAGCATCAAGGATTCTTCATCTAATGACATGTTGCCCTTTACACTGATCATTGAAGGAGAGGAGCCATTTTTGCCCATATTCAAATCTCTTCTTTTGTAAGGGTTTGGTAGTGTATGGTGACTTTTCTCAAAATGTTTAACCAAGTCCCACTTCCATTTATAGGTTGAACCACACACCATACAGCTGAAAGGTCTTTCTTCTGAATGAGATACAGCATGTTTCTGGAGCTCGGCTGGCCATTTTGCCACAAAACTACACATATTGCATTTCAGTTTCTTATTACCATTAGTACCCTCTGCAGGAGCAGTACTGGTGAGTTCTTGTGAATTCAATGTAGTTATAGCATTAAGAGGCATTTTAAGTAAATGATATGTTTGTTGTAAACCATGAGGTATTCTCTGAATGGCCTCCTTATGCTCTTGAATTCTATTAGCATGAAGTTCAGCAAAATGAGAGTTAAGTTCATCAACACCATTGAAATTCTCTTGGCATTCGTTACATTTATAAGCTCTTCGACTGAGATGAAGAGACATATGAGCGCTGTAGTCAGCTACAGTTTTACCAACAAAAGAACATTTATTACACTGTAGTGATTTGTATTTATCATCCTTCGTACCATCACCATCCTTGAGTTCCCAATCTGGTTCTGATTTAATATTCATGTAGGATGACTGCATTAAGGCTTCATCATCTTTCCTTACTGAGAAATCAAGTGGTTCATTTTGACCTTGAATTCTGATCTTGTTGCTGAGTTGACCTTCTTTGCCTTTTAACAATTGCTTGGTTCTTTGCATATTTGGTGTGCTGGTTTCTGGGAAGACTGGTTGAAGACTATTGGTTACAAATGGACCAATAAAACTTGGTATTGCTGTTGTAATTGGGGAAGCAGCAGCTCTAGTGTATTCAGGCATTGACATCATCAGCTCAACAGCAGCAGCCATTGAAGAAGACATTGGTGTACCAGGAGCAGATGAACCACCAGATGTATCAAGAAGACCATTCTGACTTTTATTGAGGACAGAGTTAGCCAGGATCTTTCTTCGACCACAGATTGTGTGACCACCAGAGTTTACTAAGTACATAAGTCCAGGGGGCTTTCTACTATTATCAGGCAATTCTCCACCATGTTTCTCTTTCCAATGTTTGTTGAGGGACTTTCTCCATTTATAAACATTACCACAGCTTGAACAGGCATATTTACAACCTGTATCATCCACCACTTCAAAATATTTAGCTGGATCAACTTCTTGTCTTTTCTTGGTTTTCTTCTCACTACCAGGAGTAATAGCAGCATTGGGAAGATTTAAACTATCCTCAGGATCAGTAGGGTGGACAATAACAGTATTGCTGTCTATCAATGGAGGTAAATCCTTGAATGTCTCTTGTGGCATATCATCATCCTCTTGTAGATTATCGATGGCGTCATTGTAACCATTACCAGAAAACTCATCCATTTCACCAGTCATGCCTTCTCCACCAAGAAAATCTGATGCCGAGAAATGTAATTTGCGATGTCTAGGAAGTTTCTGTTTGTATTTTGTGGCGTATTCGCAGATATCACACTCATAAATTATAATGTCAAAGTTATGTTCGTCTTTTTGATGAGTGAGATAAACTTTAGCACTGTTGGAAGAAAAGTCACAGACACCACAAACGTATGTTCTGTTTTGAATGTTGCCAGAACGTGTTGGAGTAACAGTTGTTTCAGAATTGCTACCGTCTTCAGTTTCATCAGCAATAATCAATCTACCATCCTCATCAGCTTCATCATCATCATCTGGAATGTTATTAATAATTATTGTATCACCATTAGCTTTATCATTTGAATTATCAATAGCGCTGTCTTCTTGACTGCTGACAGAAGGCTGTTTACGAATCAATTTTGGAAGACCTTTGACAGGTGTAGCATAAACTTGATCATTTACTTCGTCATGTTCCATCATCTGATGGTGGAAAAACTCTTTGGCATCAGTACACGAAAATTTGCAGTGTTTACATCTACGTACTCTGCCTCGCCCTTCTAGTTGAACATCGCTGCTCCCCCTGGACAAGTCACCAGACATATCAGGCCCTCAATTTTCGAAACCTGAAATATACAAATAGAAAGACTCATTAGTTCAATGTATTCATTAGTAAATTAATCCAATCTAAAAAATGTTAATAATATACAAGTATTTACATGATAAGTCTGTATTTTGGTTGTAGTCAAAGCTGAAAACAAATGAAGTAATCTTTAAATGGAAACAATGTTCAGACACCAGTTATAGAATAACCTACTAAAGCCATCATTTAAAAACTCTAATAAATATCATAAAGTTTAGAACTGATATGCAACAATTACCATCATTACATCATTCTTCTGTTCTCTAAAATAACATATATAGACAAATATTGTCAATTGACTGAAAGAATTTATCACTAGTTACAGATTGTATCAATAGATAGCCTCCAGCTGAAATACCTCAAAGAAATGCCTAAATGAAACAAGACACAGAAGTTTCTATAATAAAAGAGTGAGAAAATGAGACAAAAGAATGATTGTGTTTAAACTATCACATTTATATATCAACTGGTATTGTCTACAGGTAAAGAGCCCAGGGCCATCCTAGTTAAGAATACACAGGTATCATCCTGTGCCATGGGTGTTAAAAACTATTTAGTAACATAGCAACTAAGCAGTAGATTAAATACTTCAAAAACCTGCCAAACAATAGCCTAAAAGAGTTTATTTAAAGTATTTCCTAATCTGTTGTAAAGTAGAACTATATAGTGATAAAGGTGAAAAGGAATAATACCATATATAGCAGTCTAGTCATACAATTACAATATCTGCACCATGTCTCTCACTTCTAATAACCTTTCAACTTTAACCTATTGATGTCAAATACTACTTATCTATCAAATTTGACATCAATCTATCATTCTGGCATCCTAAATTAGGTGACATTCAAATCTTGATCACACATTCCAAACAGGAACTTGACAGGAATTTATTTTTATATTTCAAAATTAGATTATTTCTAGAGATAACTTCTTAAGAAGGATGTATGACATGGTTCATGATTTTCTTAGAAATTTCAATTCATCATAAAATATGAATTTCGTTATGGAAGAATATGATCCTGAACTTATGAACTGTAGCAGAATATAATAACTTTATATTTGAAATACAGTGATAAAAATATGGAGGAGTGAACTGTCTGAATTGTATAGAACAAAAGGTATTCTTGAGCTAGACATCTTTAGAATAAACTGGAGACAAGGTGTGATTGGGTATAGAATAAAACTATTATATAACACTATTCAGAAGGTCATTATCACTCTACCTGCCATATCAATTACTCAATATACCAGAGGACAAACATACCAACTTTATTCTTTTAAGGTTATCAATTGATTTCTATGAAACAATTATGAAAATAGAACTAAAAAACAATTTCCTTCAAATTGAATAAAGATTAGATGTATGGATATCCTGTATTTAAGATAATTCACTGCATGACCTCTGTAAGATGATGAATTAAAATACGCCAAACTTTCTATAGGGAAGTAAGACAGACAATAACATTTTACTAGTATTCTTATAAATCTTACTTTTAAACCCACAAAAACCTCGGTCTACATGACTCAATCCTTTATTCTTATTTCACGTTTCCTTTAACAAGCCTATAAAAGTTTCCCTTCAATACAGCTAAAGATAACAATCTAGCACAAGTCACTTGGAATAGAAAATTCCCCAATATATTGAATTTACAAACACTAATGTTTGAAATTAGGCTTGAAATTCAAGTTAACTTTGTTTAAACAAAGAAATGAAGATTTGTATTAAGAGGTACAAGGTACCAGTATATATAATTACACATACCATATAGTCAGTCATATGGAACATGATTCCTTGAATTTATTTACCTATTACTGACGTCAACAGGTAGATGTTGACAAGGATGGGGCATGACTAATTACAACTGCACAAAGAACAAGTTCAAAGCACGGTTAATTTTCATGTCTTATAATATGTCAAGATAGGGGATATATATGATAGATGAAATCAATCACTTTATTAAATAATCATCAAATTCTGATACTTCACTTTGTTTATGTCTGACCACTAAATTTAGAATGTTATTATAAATCCTCAGTTAGGTTCAGGACATGCACATATCTATGAAGCATTCAAAGTCAGCTAACCATATTTTATAACTCATATTTTATTCTATTCTTTAATTCAATTCAAACCTGTTATCTATTTCAAATTCACTTCAATAATTATTATTTGATTTATTCTGTACATGACATCATTTATATGTCAGGCCTATACATTCAATATTCTAGAAAGGACTTGCCTGCATTTCCCCTTTAACTGATTATATTTTAATAACTGAATTGGTGTATCAGTAAATTCTTGTATTCATAGTCTTGGAATGACTTTGCATTAATAAAAAGTTGAAACCTTGCATTTATTAAGCTTTATTTATATAAACACACTTCTCTGACAGAAATTTCAATGGAAAATAACTCACACTTTGGCTGAAAATGGTTTTCTCTAAAAAAAAAATAAATTTCAAAATGAATATATGTGCCTATGTCTATGTCGCAAAATCATTATTAGACTATCAGTGCTGCTTAAAAAATTAACAATTTTATCAGAGGTAAAATTCTATGATGGTCAACTTTTTAACTCAAAAATTCTTTCTGAAGTTAATTCTTTAATCAAAATCAATTCTTTTCTTAGGTATCATTTTCAATTACATTTTTAAATTATGTGAAGAAATAAAGTTAATTTCTTGTGACAAGATAAAGATAAGAGAAACATTTATTATCTTTTATTGTACGTTAGCATCAAACCTTTGTATTCCACTTGTCATATCAGTAGCCCAATAATCAGCCATTTCTACGACCTCTACAACCTGAAGGTCAAAGTTAAAAGTATTTGTTGAAAGAATGTTTTAACAATAGGTGAGATAAGTTGTTTTAATGCCTGATAACTTGAAGGTAGATTTAGTCAGGTTTCAACACATCAAATTCTCTCAAACTAGCATCTTACAACGTGAACAATTAATGTACCTAAAACTCACTCAAAACAACAACTACCTACTTAGTCAACGATAAAATAAGAACTTTTCATTTATCTTTATCAAACAAAGGTTATGAACTCAAAAACCTGAGGACATCCTTTATAAGCAGATTTTTTGTTTCAACTCTATATAAATGACAATCAGAATGAACATTTCACAAATACCTTATTGTTATCACTTTCAGAATGTTTTTAATATATTCTATTCTG